GGATGGACAGTAGGATGGTCCTGACGTCGTACAAAGCGGACCACTTGTCCTTCAGGATGTCCAAGCAGATGTTGCCCTGGGTGTCCACATTGGGGTGGTAGCAGGGAGTGAGGAACTTCACCGTGGGCGCATTGTAAGGGTAGCCGCTGGGGAACTCCAGGGAGAGTTTATACCGCAGGTCTTCATACACCTGGCATTTGGAGAGAGGGCGGGGCCGAGGTTCACCCTGTGAGGTTCACGTTGCAATCCAAGCCCCATGTGAGGGGCTTGATAGGCAGGATCTTTTTAAATTTATATATAAATATATGTCTCTAGGAATAGAACTCAGGACCTTGTGCCTGCCAAGTAGGTGCCATGCCACTGAGCCATATCCCTGACCCCCACTTTTGAGTTTTTCTATGGGAGAGGACAGTGGACAAAATGTTAAGTTGACTCTGGTGCTTTCTTCTTACTCAGTGGGGACATTCCTGATACTTTAAGGGCTATAAACTGGTATTCTGAGGGCTGCCAAGGCTGTGCTTTTAGTCCCATCGATTTTATTTATTTACTTTTGATTTTTTTGGACACAGGATATTCAGGCTGGCCTTGAACTTGCAGCAATCTTCCTGCCTCAGCCTCCTTTTCAACTTTTTAGTTAAAAAAATTAGATTTGACATGAATGTAATTTTTTTTTTTTTTTTTTTTTTTCAGACAGGGTCTTGCTATGTAGTTCAGGTTGGCCTTGGACTCACTGTGTAGGTTGGTCTTTCAGACTCATGGTGATCCTCTTGCCTCAGCCTCTCAAGGATTGGGATTATAAGCATATGTTATCATGCCCTGCCAGATCTGGATTTCTTTTTTGGTACTGAGAATCAAAGAAATCTGGTGCTTTCTAGGCAGGGACTGTGCAGCTGAGCTATATTCCCAGCCTAGACCTGAATTTCTATCTTGCTTTAAACCAGATCTGTAGCAAGGGACCTTCCCAATAGCCATTTCACTGTGGTCTGGCCCTTTAGATAGGGCTTATTTTTGTAATAGGGATTGTTTTGTTTGTTTGAGACAGCATCTTGCTATGTTGTCCAGGCTTGCCTTGAACTCCCTATGGAGCCCAGGCTGGTCTCAAACTCAGCAACCCTCTTGCCTCAGCCTCCCAAGTACTAGGATTATAGGCATGTGCTACCACACCTGGCTGCCAGGTACTAGGGATTGAAACTAGGAATGCAATTGCATTTGCATTGAGGTTCCTCTCCCTGCCTTTTAAACTTTGAGGCCAAGGTCTTGCCAAGTTGTCCAGGCTGGGCTTGGATCTGCTTGTGATCTTCCTACCTCAACCTCCTACAGTGCTGGGATTACAAGCACTGTGATCAGCTAGACAGAATTTTGAACCTTTTTATCACACCAGAGAAAATAAGACCATAAGACTCGGGGCATTCGAAGAGGTGCAGGGGGATTGTCTTGGGCAGCTCACTGGCTGAAGCAGCACTGGCACCTGGATCTCTTCTCCCACCCGCTCCTTGGCCCTGTTACTTACTGTGCCAGCTGCTCCGTGGATGGTCCCTATCCATTTGAAAAGGTTGTCTGACTCAGGGAAGGCAGAAATTCCTTTGTCACCAGACATCTGGGGAGGAAACAATACTTGCTGGATTGCAGGGTATATTTTAAGGGATGGACTCAGTGGGTGAGTCACTGACTGATTTCATCATATTTTTATCCAATGAGCAAGCAGACCCAACTGACACATTTATCACCAGGATAAGGAAATAGGAGGTGTACAGGGAAGAAGAGGGATGTGCATCCACAATCTTTTTGCCAAGAATTAAAATATTCAATTCTTGAAATAGCTTGAGGCCAGGAAGTAAGGACAAGTGGGACAGGGAAGTCCTTGTGAAACTTCAAGGAACTGTTTTATTTATTTATTTAATCTTTTTGATCAGGGTCTCTCTATGCAGTTCAGGCTGGCCTTGAGCTCACTTTGTAGCCTAGGCTGGTCTCAAACTCGCAACGGCCCTCCTGCTTTAGATTCCTGAGTGCTGGGATTACAGGTGTGAGCCACCACGCCCGGCTTGGTTTTTTTTTTTTTTTGGTACCAGAGATCAAATTCCTGACCTTCTGCTTGCTAGGCAGGTGCTTATGCCGCTGCACTAAATCCCCGGCCAATTATGTAGGTCTTTTTGAGACAAGAGTTTTGCTATGTAGCTCAGGTTGGCCTTCAACTCACTTTGTAGCCCAGGCTGGCCTCAAACTCACAGCAATCTTCCTGCTTAATCCTCCCAAGTGCTGGGATTACAGGTGTGTGCCACCATGCCTGGTTAAGGAACTGTGTTAGAGATAACTTCACTATGGGGAATAGACTTGGGATAGACTGCAGTAAGAAAAGTTGTGGTTGTATGCAAGACTTCTCAGAAGACAGTAAGTGATACTGAACTTTAAGAAGGGGCTTATGCAGGAAAGGAGGCTACTGATAACTGGAGGGTGGCCCAGCTGACTGGAGATCTAAGAGCACTTAAATCACTTACCATGAGGGTCATCAGCTCCTGCTGTAGCCTGCAAAAAGAATTCAGGGTTACTTGGGAATCTGGGTGGGCCAAAAGCTCTCCAGTTGGTGAGTCTCTTTTTTCATTTTTTTTTCTTCCTTTTATCGGTACCAGGGATTGAACTCACCACCTGCTTGCAAGGCAGGTGCTTATGCCGCTGAGCTAAATCCCCAGCCCCTTAGTTGGTGGGTCTCTTCCCACTTGACTCTTGCGGAGCTGTCATGGGGACTTTCCCGTTCTCCGAAGTCAGACTAGGCTGAGGGTAAGCTAATGCTCATCTCCAAAGTAGTTTAACCCTCCATAGCGCCAGGCCCTTGCTCTATTGATTCTGGCATGTTCTTAACTCCCAATGCTTTTAAGGCGTCTTCTGGGACGATCCTGAGAGTAGTCCTCCTTTACGAGTCTCAAAGAGTAGCCTGAGCTGCTGGTCTTCCTCCCACTCCTGTCCCATCTCCCAAATCTTACCAGCTGCACGAGGTGAGGGTCCCAGAAGTCTTTGCCGAGGGTCCCCAGGTTCAGAGATGTCAGGCCCAGCCACTGTTAGCTCCGTACCACTTACCTCTTGCCCACAGGGCCCCGGGCGGCGCCCCCGCTGGGCTCGGCCCCTTTACGCGACGCAGCAACGCTAGCGGCAGCGGGGTCGCGGTTTTGGGAGGCCATCAGGACAGCGCTGGCAGAGAGATAGGAACTCGGAGAACAGCACGGCAACTGCAGGGCAGGGAGCCACCCGCCTGCGTTTGAATTGTAACCCTCCGACAGTGTCGACCAATCAGCGGCTCGATTGGTTTGATCCAGCCAATGCGGCAGGCCGCAGTGCTGTGTCACTGCGCAACTGCTCGCCCCACCCATCAGTGTGCCACCATGAGGAAGGGCTTTACTTCTAACAGCTGATTGGCTGGAGAGGCTGTCACTAACTAAAGCGTCTGTAGCGGACTGGTGGCCTTTAGAGAACGCCAACCATTAAAGGGCCAAGAAAACGACCACGTGTCATAAATACCTTAAAGTCAAACGTCTGTGGTCTTTTGAGCAGAGTGCGCTGGTTCTGGACCCTTTCTTCCTGGGCGAAATTATCAGCAGTCTTTGTGCCCTGATAAGTCTTCCCCAAACCAGAAGTCCCTGCTCTTTCTCGGTATTATAATAACCCCGGCACCTCTGAGATCCCAAGTGCCTGGAAATCTGGGGTTGTGGGGCTAGGACCAAAGAGGCAAGACAGGCTGAAGGAAGGCCAGAGCCGCAGCCTATTAGAAAATGTAGGTTCAGGTCATGCCTCATCTCCGACTGGTTTGCTGTGTGGTATTGAGCAGGTCGACATTTTAGCCTGTAAAATGATAATAAAAGCCAACTTTGCATTTTGTATTTCTTTTTTTTTTTTTTTTTTTTTGGTACTTGCGCTTTTGCCAGGCAGGTGCTGTGCCGCTGAGCTATATCCCCACCCCCATATTTTCTGTATTTTTGAAGCAGGGTCTATGCAGTTCAGGATGGCTCTCAAATTACTTTGTGGCCTAAGCTGGCCTCAAACTCGAAGTAATCCTCCTTACTCAGTCTCCCGGGTGCTAGGACTACAGGCATGTGCCACCACACCTGGCTTTTTTTTTTTTTTTTTAAATTGGTACTGGGGATCGAACTCACGACCACGCACTAGCAAGGCAGGTGATTATGCCGCTGAGCTAAATCCTCAGCCCTTGGCTTGCATTTTTTATATGGTCTGTTACTAAACCTCCATGGGACTAACCATCATTCTGGCAGTTCTTGCATTGGTAGGAAAAAACCAGGAAAACAAGAAAACAAAGCAACAGGGAAGGTTTCTAAATTGGGTATGATGGTGCATGCTTGTAATTCCAGCACTTGAATGGCTGTGCCAAGGTTGCCACAAGATCAAGTCCAGCCTGAACTACATATGAGACACTTTCTCAAAAAAAGAAACCAATGGGGCTGGGGATTTGGCTCAGTGGCATAAGCACCTGCCTTGCAAGCAAGTGGTGGTGAGTTCAATCCCCAATACTGAAAAAAAAAAACCGAAAACAAACAAAACCCCCCAAACCAACCAAACAAAAACAACCAAAATACCAAAACACAAAAGTTGGCAAGGTACTTGAAATTAACAGTGAAGTCTCCTAAAGCCTGGGTCTGAGATCCTCTTACTAAACTGGTTTCTTTTTTTTGGAGGGGGGGGGGGGGTGTGCATCAAACTCAAGGCTTACCACTTGCCAGGCAGGCACTTTTGCCACTGAGCTAAAAACCTCTGGCTGGTTTTCTTTTCTTTTTTTTGTCTTTTTGAGACAGGGTCTCACTACGCAGTTCAGGCTGGCCTTGAGCTCACTTTGTAGCTGAGGCTGGTCTCCAACTTGCAACTGTCCTCCTGCCTCAGCCTCCCAGTGTTGGGATTACAGGCGTGAGCTACCACACCTGGCTTCTACACTCGTTTCTAGAGCCCCTGACATTTTATTAGCCCCTCCACATGGCAGATGGCACAGCAGGCTCACCATCTGTGTTTATTACAAACAGTTTAATTGCTTATCTCAATAACTTTACAAATATAGACCCACATGCCAGTCTGGGGAGCTCTGTATTGAGTTCCTACAGACTACCCCATGCAGAGTTTAATTCCACGGAAATCCAGCTAGGAGCAGTCCCAATGGTAGCCTCCCCATGTGGGAAACAAGGTCTTGGGTGCAGGCTGCCCACTGTAGCCAAGACAGCCGGCCTCAGGTCTGCCCAGGAGCTTCAGCACTATGATGCTCATTCTCTGTCCTTAGTGTCTCCATGTACTTGCGCATCTTCTCAACGATCCAGGAGGGCAGGACAAAGGATTTCAGTTCATCTAATTTCAGGTCCAGGCATCCTCTAGAGCAGACATTCAGAGAGTAAGTTAACACAAGGCAGGGTGTAGGCCCAGCCGCACTCCAGGGGGCTACTCTGGGGCCAGGAGATCCAGTGGTTTACCTGTAGTCGTCACTGGCAGCAAGATCCCGGATGTCCTCCTCGATGAGAAGGTAGGCCTGAGGCAGGAACAAGGGAGAATGGTAACTGCCTGATTCATTTCACTCCAATCCAATAGCCCTTTATTATCTGCTTAATGTAAGGCCTGCTCCTAGGTGGAGGAAAGGGGGGTGTAGTTTGCAGTTTTGTTGGGGAAAGTGGGAAGGGACTGGGGAATGGTTCCTTGAGAAAATCTTTTTCTCAAAGAGAAACTTTATGGGTGCAAGAAGGGATGTGTGACGTTTTTGAGATTGGGGTCTAGCTATGTTGCCCAGGTTGGCCTTGAATTCCTGGGTTCAAGTGATCCTTATGCATTAGTCTCTGGCGTAGCTGGGACTACAGACACACTGTGCTGACTTATTTATAGCTTTTCCTCTTTTACAAAAGGGAGGGAGCCAGGCATGATGGCGCATAACTGTAATCCCAGTATTCAGGAGGCTGAAGCAACAGGATTGCTGTTTGAGGCCAACATGAGCTAGGTAAGCGAGTTCAAGGTCAGCCTGCACTATATAGCCAGACCTTGTCCCAAAAGAAAAAAAAGAACAGAAAAAGAAAAAAAGATGGAAGAGGTTTATCATGAAACAGTAGGAGACCTAGCAAAATATACTTGGAACAGTAATCAGGAAGAGAAAGCTATACACTGACTGGGGATTAAGAAAATTTGGTCTTGAGATTTCCGGCAAAAGGGACATGATAATAAACACCCTGCTGGCCAGTAAGTGGGCTATGATGTGTGGCCCTGGGCCTCTACAGCTGCTGACAGGATGTGTGTCTGCAGTGGTGAGGCTTTCTGTAAGCTTACCACATAGAGGATGTGCACAGTAATAGAAAGACTTCTCTAAGACTCTTTCTAGTCTTAGGGTTAGGAGTAGTTGTGCCTTTTGAGTATTTTGTTTTTTATTCATCTTATGGTAACTATGAACTATGTAACAGATCAGATATCCTGGAGAAGGGTACAGTTTAATTTGTAAATAGGTCATCATGGAAAAAAAAAAACCCAACTTTTTTCTAACTTTTTTTTTTTTTTTGTCTTTTTTCCTTTTTATCGGTACCGGGGATCAAACTCTTGACTGCCTGCTTGCAAGGCAGGCACTTATGCCGCTGAGCTAAATCCCCAGCCCCTTTTTATCTATTCTTAATGGTGGGTTTTTTTTTTTTGTCTTCTTACAAGGTCTTGCCATGCAGTTCAGGTTGGTCTTGGGCTCACTTTGTAGCTCAAGCTGGTCTCGAACTTGCAAACGATTCTCTTGCCTTAGCCTTTCAAGTCCTGGCATTACAGGAGTGTGTCCCAATGCCTGGCTGAAATGACAAATGTATTCCTTTTTTTTCTTTTGGTGGGAATCAAACTCATGATCTTGCACTTGCCAGGCAGGTGCTTATGCTGCTGAGCTAAATCGCCAGAACCTAATTTTTGGGTTCTGCTCCCTCTGCCCATTTCTTATTTATATTATATTGCATTTTATGTTATCTTTGGTAAGCACCCTGAAATATTTTTTTCTGAAATAGTGTGGGCATGGAGTAGTAAATAAAATGAAAGTAGTTTTTTTCCTTACTTTTTGGAGACAGGATCTGTGTGGCCTAGGCTGAACTCAAACTCATCACAATTCTCCTGTTTTAGCCTCCTAAGTGCTGGGATTACAGGCATGCACCACCACACCTGGCTCTAAAAGGTAGTTTTCACTGCCAGAAAGGAAAATGGCATATTGGTTTGCAAGGCCATTAGATTTTTTTTAGAAGCAGTAGGACTGAGTCCTCAGATGCAGGAGACCACATGTGATGATGGCCAGAGCCCTCCGTAATGGTTTTAGTACACATACAACCACCATTTTTCCTAAGGTTGGTGCTTGATATCAGCTGAGACTCCTGAAGCAGAGGTGTGTCAGGAAGGGGCTGTTAGACATGGCAAACATTTCACTGCAGGTGCTAACTCTGGTTACACGGGGTGTTGTCTGGAGAACTATGTTGAGAAATGATTCTATAGCTGTGTCTGGAGAAAGTGTTATGAGCAAGTTGTAAAATCTATCCAGGGACACATGAAAGAAAATCTTGTAACCGCCATTTCTATGCAGCTATGTGGTTTTGAAGAAATGGGATTGGAGAATGAGGGGGTGGAGGAGAGGGCCCTAGTGACAGGGAGCAGGGATCACAGGAAGACTGGGCTAAGCGTCCCTTTCCACGTTCGCTGGGCTGCAGGAGTCCTCAGATTTGGAGGTAAGTGGTCGCCAGGGGCTTGTGGGCTGCGTGGGTGTTTGGCAGTGGCACTGGAGCATGATGCTTACCATCTTCCCCCCTGTTGCACGCATGTGGTGATTCTCGGCCAGCCAGTGCTTGTCCTGGGGGTCAGCTGCATACTGTGAGGGACGAAGTCACACAGTGGGAAACATTAACCCAGGGAGGGCCGTTCTCTTGCCCCTTGAGTATTCCTACCAACAAGAGATCGTCCTAGCCTGGCAGACACAGACTCAGAGAACCCGGGCCATGCCTAGGAGCCCAGAGACTGGGACCCATTTCCCTTTCTAACCCGCTTCCTGCATCCTTTCCCAGCATAGCACCTCTGGCAACTAGTGGGACACATGACTATTATTTTAGTGCCTTCTTAAATTAATTAACTAATTGAGAAAGGGTCTCACTATGCAGTTCAGGCTGGCCTCCAACTCAAGCGACCCTCCTGCCTCAGGCCCACTCCCCTCACTGAGTGCTGAGATTACAGGCCTGTACCACCATGCCAAGAAAGAGTGTCCTCTTTTAAAAAATGATATGGGGGCTGGGGATTTAGCTCAGCGGCATAAGCGCCTGCCTTGCAAGCAGGCAGTCGTGAGATACTGATAAAAAGGAAAAAGACCAGAAAAAGACCAAAAAAAATGATATGAGGTGGCTTGTAACACCTGTAATTACTATGGTGAACATATTTTCTAAAATGAAAATCTGGATGCCTGATTTACTGGGGCAGATAGAATAACATCATGGTTAAGAACCTGGTTTTGCAGTTAGACAAAAAAGGTTTTTTTTTTTTAAACAGATGTGAGCCTCTTGTGGTGGCTCGTGCTTATAATCCAAGCATGAAGGAGGCTGAGCAGGACCACAAGTTAGAAGCCAGCCTGAAATAAAGATTCTGTCTCCAAAAACAAAACAAAACAAACAAACAAATAAAAAATTTATAGATGTGGTGAGTGTAGCGACCAAACTTCAAAGATGGTACGCTGGCTTCACTAAAGGGAAAGCATTTCAAGATATAAAAAGCTAAACTGGCCTTGTGGCACATACCTATAACCTTACCACTCTAGGAGGCTGAGGCAAGAGGATTACAAATTCTAGACTCTATCTTAAAAAGAAAAGAAGAAAAAGCCACTTTAAATTTATGGAACCAAGATAGGTTCTAAATGACTGAAAAGACACTTCTGATCACTGACATAGAACCATAAAGTAGGGCCAGCGATGCAGCTCAGCAGACACAGTGCCTGCCTGGCAGGTGCAAGGCCCTGAGTTGGAGTCCTAGCACAAAACAAAAACCATAAAGTAAAACAAAAAAATTTCCCTCCATTTATTAGACTGCAAAGATTAAAATGAGATGATCCCCACTGGAAAAACAGAGTATGTTGGGAGTTTACTGAGTCCCTACTACGTGCCAGGCATCATGCTGGGTGCTTTACTGAACTCTTTTTTTTTTTTGAGTCAGGGTCCAGCTATGCAGCCAGGCTGGCTTTGAACTCACTATGCAGTCCGGCTAGTTCAGACTTGCAGCCCTCTTCCTGCCTCCGCCTCCCGAGTGCTGGGATTAAAGACATGTACCACTGCTGCATTCTTTCTTAATTGACCCTCCGAGGTTCATCTGTCATCAATCCCATTTTACATATGATAAAATAGATTTAGAAGCATGGAGCTGTTTGCTTAGGGTCACACAGCTGAGCTAGCAAGGAGTGGAACCAGGACCAAGATCATACTTTTTTTGGCGGTGCTGAGGATTAAACCCAGGGGTGTTCAACCACTGAGTTACATTCTCAGCCCTTTTATTTTTTTTTAGACAGGGTCTTGTTAAATTGCCCAAACTAGCCTGGTATTTGCCTCTAGGGAAGGTGGGACTACAAGTGTGCTATTGTGCCTGTCGGGGAGGTAAATCTTTTTACTTCTATTTTATTGGTACATTATAGATACATATAATGATAACATTTATCATAGAGAACTTGTACCTGTACATGATATATCTTGTGTCTCCCCTCCTTCCCATTCCTCTCTCCTTTCAACCTCTCTTCCCCAGGGAGGTGAATCTTAGAATAAGCAGATAAAGGTGGGGGATAAAGGCCAGCCAGATACAGGGAATAGTAGGAGTAAAGAAACTACGAAAGGAAGGTGAACTAGCAAGTAGGCCAAACCCTCCAGGTGCTGGGAGTCCTAAGAGTAAGGCTGAAAAAGAAGAGCCAGGGGAGCCACCTTCAAACCTGCAGACTGTGGCTGAGGGAGCCTGATTCTACGATCCGGATCCCAAAAGGGCAAAGGGCGCAAGCCTTGTACACAGGTACAAAAACATGTCAGGGACACATGCAGTGATGCTTTCTGAATCTACTTAGATGCTTTTAGTGATGAAATACAAACCTTGACTCCATTAATTTAAAATCTCCTTTGTTGTTTCTCAAGCAGTGAAGCCAATAGAAGCCGCTCTCCAGGGAAGAGAGACATCTGGGGAATGTAAGCCCTGCCCTGTTCTGGTCATTCTATGCCACAGACAAGTGGATGAGGTGATGGCTAAGAGCTCAAGCTTTACATCAACTGATGATGGACACAGAAGACATTTTTTGAGACATTTCTAGCTAACTGGATGTACCTTAGACCAGACTTTTCAATTGGAAACACGTGTAAATACATTGTTTCTCTGGTATAAGAAACCAAAAGTGTAAATAAGGACCAAAATGTATAATAGATATTGTAAAATAGGAAGAAAATGTTCAAATGGGAAGAGAAACTAGGGATGGGGAGGGCAAAGGAAGAAAGGGAAAAGAAAAAATGATGGAAAAAGGAAAAAATGAAAAAAAAAAGCCTTTTGTAAATAAGGAAGGGAAGAGTGGCTGAAAGGGGGGCAAGGGAATGGTGAAAAAAAAAAGAACCAAGCTGTATCATATACAGGTATAAACTCCCCATGACGAAGGTGATCATTATGCAGATCTAAAAGGTTCCAATAAACTTACCTAAAAAACAAAGCAGAAAAGTTCCAGCTTTAGAAGACAGATTTTAATCTGGACACATTAGCTGACTAACTTTGGGTAAGACTTAGCCTCTTCCCTGTCCCCCACTTTCTAAAAACTTCTTTCAAAATAAGGGTGATAATACTTAGCTTTTGTTTTCTTTTTCCCTTGAGTTAGACAGATTTCCACTATGTTCCCCAGGCTGGCCCAGAGCTCCTGGGCTCAGATGACCCTGCTGCCTCAGTCTCTGAGTAGTTGAAACTATAGGTACATGCCTCACTGTCCAGCTAATAATACTTATCTTTTTTGGGGGGGTCTTTTTGGTCTTTTTGAGACCAGGGTCTCACTACACAGTTCAGGCTGACCTTGGGCTCACTTTGTAGCCCAGGCTGGTCTTGAACTTGCAAGGATCCACCTGCCTCAGTCTTCCCAAGTGCTGGGATTACAGGAGTGTTCGGTAATAATACTTATCTTAAAAGATAATTCCACGAGATCCTCTAAGCATAACTCTTAACTTTTTGTTTGGTACTGGGGATTGAGCTCACCACCTCATGCTTGTCAGGAGTTTATGCTGCTGAGCTAAATCCCTGGCCCTAACTCTTAAAGCTGTGCATTGCATACAGTGACCATGCAAGAAAAGTAACCATTATTACTGAGGCACAGAAATGTTGAGAAAATTGTAAAAAATAAAGGTGAAGTTGGGTGCGGTGTCACACATCTGTAATTCTAGCACTGGGAGGCTGAGGCACGAGGACTGCTGTAAATTCCAGACCAGTCTAGGCTACATTAGTGAGTTCAAGGCCAGCCGACACTACATGGCAAGATGCTGTCTCAGAAAAACCAACCCCCCCCCCCCGCAAAAGGTGAATGAGAACGTGGGGTTCTGGCTCCCAGATGGACGCCATGTGCCCCTGTCAGTGTCCCTGTTCCCCAGCCCTGCCCACCTTCCAGCTCTTACCCACCTTAAAGAGGTGTGGGTGCTTGATGTAGATTCTCCCTCTGGTGCCTCCCATGCCTAGGGCCCTGAGGTGAAAAGACAGATGGTAAGGATCCCTGCAGATGTAGCTCCTAGGAATGGACCCCTGAGCAATACCTCCTCGAACGCATCGAAGTGTTTAGACTCACTTGTTGGCTCGAGATCCCAAAACAAAGGTAGTAGCTTCATTCAGCCGAGCTGGATCCCACTATGCAAAAAATAGAGAGGCTGGTGAGAGTGAGGTTTAACGTGGTAGCAACGAACACTCCTCTCTCTGTCCTGTTTTCATCCTCATCTATTTTTTTTTAATTTTTAAAATTTTTTTCTTTTCATCCTCACCTATTTTTAAACATTTTTTAAAGACAGGCTCATTTGTAGTTCAGGCTGACCTTGAACTCACTATGTAGCCCAGGTTGGCCTTGAACTTGTGATCCTCATGCTTCAGCCCCCAAGTGCTGGTGGGATTAGAGACATGTACCCCATCTGGCTCTTTTCCATTATTCAACAGTGTTTATTCAAGAAATAGAATACTTATATGCTAGGGCCTTGCTAGAGACTGAGGATAAAGAGATGACTAAAATATAGTCTCGTTCTCCAGGAGACCCAGGTATATACCCAGACGAGATCACTATGGGACACAGCAATGATATGGCTGAGTGCAGGATGTCAGTGATACTAAGGGGATGGTACAGCTAGGAAGTCTTCTTTGAAGAGATAATCCCACGCTAATCCTGACAGAGTGAGGTCAAGTTAGGACAGAGGGGAGAAGGACATTCCAGCTAGAGGGCAGCATGTCCAAAGACAGGTGTGAGCTGGCTCGGTAAGAGCAAGAGCCTGCAAGCAGTTCTGTGTTGCCTCAGGAGAAAGAGTTCAAAAAGGGAGTAGCAACTGACGAAGCTGGAGAGAGGAGCACAAAAGCAAGAGGCTTCCTGTAGAAGTTCGTATTTTCCTTACTCTGTAGGCAGCAGGGAGCCACTGAAGGCCTCTAAACAGGACATGAGGCTCTTACGTTCCTAAAGACAGCTTACTGTTCAGCAAAGTGGATAATGGATTTGAAGGGACAAGACCACAAGTAGGAAGAGGCTGCTGTAATGAAGCAGAATTGAAGGAAGACAACAGCCTGCGCGACAATGCAGTGAGGAGGAAGGGGAGGGAACAGGAGCTGCAGCACCCTCATGAGGCAGAACCATTCACAAGCTGACCAGAGGTAGGGAGGGGAAGGTCACTATAGGCAAAGGCGATTCAGGCACAGAACGTAAAAGAAGGTCTACAAGGAGAGATTCTAATTTCAGTTTTGGATGTGCTGCAATGAAAAAGTCCATGGAGCTTCCAGGGAGAAAGGTCTAGTAGGCAGAATATCTACATTTTAAAAAAAAGAGAGAGGAATATGATGAACAAAGAGCTTGGGGAGTGAAGTCAGGAACTCAGGCTTGCCAGGTAGGCGCTGAACTAATCCCTGGCTCCAAAAGAGATAATCCTAGGGAACACCTACTTATATGGGTCATTGGTGAGGAAAAACTCACTATGACCGAGAAACGAGGTTTGGATAGGCAGACTAGGGAGAATGCAGGGTCACCAGCTATAAGGGAGTAGACTCTTGGGAGAGGCATGAGGACCAGTGAAAGGAGAGAGTCAGAAAACAAACATCTATCTGTACATAGCTCCAAAAAGGACAGATACTTATATCTGCTTTATAGAACTTCCATAGATGACTGCTTGTAAAAAGGATCTGACTGCTAAAAGAGCTTGCAAACAACTGTTCTGCAGGCGACAGAGGCTACTGGTGTCAGCAGACTTTGGGTCTGAGATTTGGCTCTGGGCAAATGTCAGATGTATTAAGTATATAAAATAACTAGGTAAAATAATTTCTGCCTATAGGGGAGTTGGTAGGAATGGAAGTTTTTCAACTATAGGATGCTAAGAGAATCTACTTCAAGTTTGTTACAAAGATTAAATGAGATAATAATCTGATAAAAAATTTCAGGCCATGCCTACCACATATCAAGCAATGAGTGACAGTGACCACCAGCACAGCAGAAAGAGGGGATGACTTTGTGTAACAGGTAGAGGTCTTAGTCATCTCTTGGGCCTTTAATTCCAGTTCCTACATGAGCTGGGAGACCAGCGTGGCTGCAGGGGATGGTAGAGAAGATGGAGCTGGAATGGTGTGAACCTATCCTGTACCCACCCAGTCTCTGTCCTTCATGGAGCCCCCAGCTCTGGCTGATTCTCCCTGGGAGACTGGTCACTACCATGCTCACAGTCATACCTTGGGACCTTCCCGGCGAATTGGTTCACAGGATTTTGGCTTCCATCTGCTTGGAGGGGAAGAAGGAGAGTAAACTTTCCAAGGTGAGGCCTAGGACTGGAAGAATGCTCGGGTGGTGGTGGCAGTTCTTCATACACTCTCACTTTAGTTCTAGGTGCATCTCTTCCTGATAACCCATTAGAGGAAATTCAAAGGGAAAAAGCACTAGACCAGGAGCCACCCTAGTGCTGGCTCTGGTATGACCTGGGGCGTCCTGGGGTAAGTCCAGGAACCTCTGTGTTGGAGCTTTCTCATCTTTGAGTCTTACTCATCTTGTATTCATGAGAAATGAAACCACTTCCGGTTGGGACAAACCTGAGGGATGACAGTACTATCTATCTAGGCCAGTGGTTTCAAACCATCTCTACCCTACTTTGTTAGACTGTATCTGCAGGATAATATTTGCAGGACTGGGGATTGAATGCAGGTGCTCATGCATGTCAGGCAAATGCTCCACCACTGAGCTATCCCCTTAGCTCTTTGAAATTTGAGACAGCATCTTGCTAATTTGCTCAGCCTTGTCTCAAACTTGCAACCCTCCTGCCTCAGCCTTCACAACAGCTGGGATTACAGATATGTACTACAAGGCTGGCTTTATGTTTTATTGATCTGGTTTCCAAGTGAAGTTTTGCTTGGGGAAAAAAAAGGTTTCATTGCTGGGGGTGGTGGTAGTAGTGCTAGAAAGATGAACAGCTAGAACCCAGCGATTTTTTTTTTTTAACTGGTACCGCGGATTGAACTCAGGACCATGCGCTTGCAAGGCCGGTGCTTATGCCGCTGAGCTAAATCCCCAGCCCCTGAGTCCAGAGGTTTTTTAGCACAGTGAATATGCTCTGTCTGATACCAACAGTGAATACATGTAACTGTACATTTGCCCAAACACAGAAGGCTCACTGCCATGAGTGAACCCTAATGGGGTCTATGGACTCAGGGTGATAACTATGTGTTACAGAGGACTCATCAACTGCAGACCCTCCGCTGTCTTCTGCAGATAACAGGGAGGCTGTGTGTATGTGGAGGCGGGGAATAGGAGTTATCTCTGTATTCCCACTTGATTTCCTGGGAGCCTAAAAATACTCTGACTATCTTGTAGGTAATATAGTGTAACTATACCTTCTGTTAACTGTATGATCTTGGCAAATAATTGTCTCTTTAGTTGTTAAAAAATTGGGGCTAGGGATTTAGCTCAGTGGCATAAGCACCTGCCTTGCAAGCAGACAGTCGTGAGTTCGATCCCTGGTACCGATAAAAATGAAAAAGACAAAAAAAAAAAAAAAAAAAAAAAAAAAAAAAAAAAAAAAAAACCCCAAAAAACCAAAAAAACCTTCCTGGGGCTGGGGATTTAGCTCAGCAGCATAATTACCTGCCTTGCAAGCAGGCAGTCCTGAGTTCGATCCCCGGTACCGATAAAAAAAAAAAAAAAAATTATACCTTCCTTAGAAGATAAGGTTTGTATGGTATTTAGACCAGCTTTCAATACATACTAACAATGACACTACTCTGGTCTTTAATCCAGCTAGACTGCACTGTTTTGGGAAAAAAACAGGATAATATCTTCCCTTTACCACTCTGAGGGATAACCCTCCTGCCTGATGACTTAAGCACATGGATCTGATTCTGCCCAGGCACAGATCTGTCCTTTCCCTCCACAGTCACTCCCTCCCGCTGCCAACTTTGGCTCTTGTCACACTAGCGGCCCCTACTCACACCATGCCAGCGGCTGCCCGTTCACTTGACAGCATGTGTCCAGGAGGCCGTCCTTTCCTCTGTCACAAAGAACAGCTGTCAGAGACCTGACCCCATGGGAACAGTTCCCCCACCCCCTTCTGGGTAGGTCCAGGATCACACATAGTAGAGATGGTTTTCCAAAGATTCCAAATGATCTTTGACAGGGACCAAGGAGAGGGTACAGTCCTAGCCTGTCATGCATAAAAGGTTCAAAGGTACATGAGGAAGTCCAACACCTGCTTTTGGAGCTGAGAGGCCTTTTCTCAGCCACGAAATAAAACGAGGAAATGGTGTACCTTTTTAGGAATGGGGCTTCCTCGATGGGCACACTCCTCTTCTGCCAGTCGGCCACGCTGGAAGGAGACAGAAGTGAGTCAGTGGGACGCAAGTGCTTGGAAATTACAGGTCCTTTGGGCTTGCATTAAGCAGAACCCTGGATGGTACCCCTTCGACTGCTGCCTGAGCCAGGCCTAGAAGCCCATCTAGCAAAGTTGTACTTGGCCTGACGAACGGGTGGTCTGTGAAATCTCCCTAGACCCGCATTTCACCTGCCTTCCAGGCTGTCTCCCTCTTTAAGCCCTCAGGATACAGTGACTCTGACCTTTATCCCGGGAAGCTCGTGGGCCAATCTGGGTATTACTTTTTCTCCATCTGAGAACAGTAGCTTAGCCTGAAAGGAAAAGACCAAATGTTAACAGTCACTGTTTTCGTGGGTGAGCCTCCCTTGTCTCCATTTTCGTAGATGTGACTCCAAACTGAAAACTTTTCCACAGTCAATACAAAGAAAGGAATGTATATATTTATTTTTATTTTATTTTTTTGGTACCGGGGATCGAACTCAACTGTGTGCTTGCAAGGCAGGTGCTTATTCCACTGAACTAAATCCCCCTATACTTATTTTTAAAAAGTAGATATTGGGCTGCTTGATGGGCATGTTCTTTTGCCTATTGGTCATGCTGGAGAAAAAGGGAAGGGAATCAGTGGGAGTCTTTTTTTTTAAAGAAAAAACTTGATGAATTAGTGATTATTGCTAAAAGGTTACAAAATGTAAATAAGATTAAAAAAATAAAACCTAAATCTCATTTCTCTGACACAGAAATCTGTATTACCAATTTAATGTAAATTCTTTTTTTTTTTTTCTGAGACAGAGTCTCGCTATATAGTTCAGGCTGGCCTTGAACTCACAGCAATCTTCCTGTCTCCGCCTCCCTAGTGTTGGGATTATGGGCATGTGCCACTGTGCCCGGTTCTTTCTTATTTTCCTCATGTAAATATGTACTATATAACTTTCTAGCTGTATGTTACTACCCTACATATTCCCCAGTAAACTGCTGCTTTTATTTAACGAGTATTGAGAAGCCAGGTGTGGTGGCAACATGTTTGAGGCCAGCCTGGGCTACACACTGAGTTCAAGGCCAGCTTGCATTATAGTGATACCTTGTCTCAAAAAACCAAAATAAAAAATAAAACTATTGAACACTAGGACATAAGTGCTGGGAATGGCAGTGAAGAAGACAAGCTTCTACAGAGCTCTTGCTCTTGTGGCAGATAATGAACAAATAAACAAACATACAAATAAGATAATTTTGCTCTTTCTTTCTTTTTTTTGAGACAAAGTCTCACTATGTAATTCAAGCTGGCCTTGAATTCATAGCAATCCTCCTGCTCAGCCTCTAGAGTGGTGGAATTATAGGTGTGTGCCTCCATGCTTGGCTACATAAGGTAATTTTGGATCATGAAGAAAGAGATAAAGCAGGAAAAAAAAAAAAAAACCCACATAGATGGGCAGAGAATTACCAGACAGGGCTCCTTGAGTGGGTGGTCGGGCTGAGAAGGCAGCCTGTGAGGCAGAAGGCTGGAGGTGAAGCTAGGCCAGGGCGGCAGGAGAAGAACAGAAAGTCTCAGGGTGGAAAGACATGGTTCCTAGGAGGAGGCAAAGGCAACCTGGCAAGTACCGGATCAAGGGCAGGGCGGCAGGTGGAATGAGACTGGAGGACAGGCCAGGTCCTGAGGTGAAGAGCTGGGTCTCACAACCCTGGGTGTGGCTTCTGCCTGCACCAGTGCGCCCCCTCTGGACACACCGCAGCTTATGCCTTCTTCCCACTTCTCTGGCCACTCTTTCTTGGCCTTTTCTGCAGGCTTATCCCCTCCATCTGGTTCTTCCCACTCTACCGTCTTCAATAATCTGCCTCCTCTCATTTACACTCACAGCTTTAACTAACATCTATAAACTCATGACTCCATTTTTGCATTTTAAATCTTCAGCTGTAGCTGAAAGCTATACTTTGAGCTCCAGGCCTAGAAACAAGTAGTTGGCTCCATGCTGAGGTTTGGATCTCTTAGACTTGCTGAGTTTGAAACTGGACTTGTGACCTTCTCTGCCAAATTTTGCCTCTTTTTTCAGTGACGAGTGCACAAGCCTCAATATGTACTTGCACAGCTCTGCAGTGACTTAGGTCATACCTGTCTGCTATTAGGCTTGTACAAACAAGATTGCTGCAAGTTTGAGACCAGCCTGGGCTAGAAAGTGAGCCTAATGGCAGCCTGAATTGTATAATGAGATTCTGTCTCAAAAGGACAAAAACAAACAAAAAAACCTCCCAAACCCCCCTCAAAAAACAAAAACAGGAAGCCTATTTTATTTGTCATGTGGCTGTTTGTTCATTGTGATGTACTCCATCATTCACAAATACATACTGTACACACAGTAAGAGCTGTATATATGCAGCTGTACATAAACAGGTTATATATAGGGTTGAGAATATAATGGTGAACAAGTACAGTCTTCAGCTTGTAAAACTCAAGATTTTAGAAGGGATAAAATGTAGGTGTGGGAAGGAAGCAGGAATAAGTGCAGTGACTCTATAGGGAGGGTAACTAGAGGGGGGCAGGTGTGAGGGGGAGTATTCGGGGAAGGGCTGCCCGATGAGGCCATATTTAATCTAAGATCTGAAGAAGAATTAGGGGTCAACAGGCAGGGAAGACAGCAGGTAAAAGGGCCCTGGGCATGGTGACCTAGAGGGCAGGGAAGAATCCAGCATGGCTAGAACCCAGTCAATGAAGTGGTAGTGGGATGAGGTGAGGTTAAAGCTGTTAAAGAAGCAGGCAGATGCTGGTCCAGGCAGGGCTCTGTGGATCAAATTATTAGGATTTTCTTCTGCCTGCAACTGCAAGTCACTGGAGGGTTTTAAGCAGACTAATGGGATCTGACTCATCTCTACAGACTGGCTGCTCCGACAAGAGCGGACTAGAAGTAGATAAGGGTAGATGCAGTTCAGGGCTGAGATATAAATTTGTATATCTTAGTGGTTAAATTGGCTTCAAATCCAAAGGGCTCACCTGGGAAGACAGGGAACCACAGAGGAGAAGGGGGCTGAGGACTTGAATCAGCACCAACAGAGGTCAGGGAGAGAAAAGCCGGGCGCTGAGGAGGGACCAATGGAGCTGAGCAAAGCGGACAGGGTGCAGCCAAGCAGCAGTGTTCCAAGGTCACGAAACGAGTCACCATAACAAATGTCACTGAGGAGCGGAGGACAGGCAGTGTTCACAGGGCTTGAGAATAAGGAGGCCACTGGGGGAAAAACAGGCAGTGGAGACCAAAGCTAAAAAAAGCAAGTCAAGAATGAATGGGAGGCACAAAAGCAAGCCACTGGGTGCTGACAACCTTTCTTTTTTTTAAATCGGTACCAGGGATTGAACTCACCACTGCCTGCTTATGCCACTGAGCTAAATCTCCAGCCCTGACAACCTTTCTTAAAGTGTGGCTTGAAAAGGAAACAGAGTGTGATCACTGAAGGGACTGTCTGTCTTTGTTCACTACTGTACTCCCAGTGTCTCAATGTCTGAGCACACGCTTTACAGACACACACAGACAAAAGACTGCAGAAATACCTCGAAAGAGGTAGCTCAGGAGAGGAGGGAATATTCCTGAGATGTCCAGATGTGGTATGAAAAGTGAAAGCACGCAAACCAAGACTTAACCCAACCAAAAATGAAAATGCCTTACTAGTTCATTGTGAAGCATCTTTTCAGGCAGTAAGGGGTTCTGCATGTGGTTTAGTGGAGAGGACCCCAGAGAGCATGGAAGTATTCTAGTAACCCAAAGGCTGGGCTCTGTTGTCAGGAAGGAATACTATTATTGGGACTACAGCTGTATTTCACATCTAGCAGGCTCCGTGTTGCAAGCACCTGTGCTGTGTTGTTGGTGGCTATATTACCCCACTTAATCCCCACAGCAAACCACTGGTGGTAGGAAGTGGCTTTAGTTCCAGTCTTACAGATTAGGAAACTAAAATTCAAAAAGGCTAAGTTTCTTGACTCATCTGATTTCACACTGGATGAAATTCTGTGGGCTTTTACCTTCCTATGCTCTGATTTCATGGTGCCCACACAGCCCTTCCATACACTGGCTTCTTAGCTGTATTAGCACTGGTAAGGGACAACTCAATGGCAGACATCTGATTCAGGAGAACAGAAAGGTATAAATAACCTTCTCTGAATGCAGGTCAGACACTTAACTTTAACCTCATCAGCTCTCCATGGAACTTAACCATCTCCTAAATTCCTTTCCAAACCAATCTCCTCCAGCAGCCAGTCAATCTTTTCAAAATGCAGATCTCATGAGGCCACTCTTCTGTTTACAACTTCTCACCTGTAAGTTGGATTGTAGTGCTGCTTGATCTACCTCCACCTCTCCACTTTTCACATACCATTTCCTTCACCCTCTGGAAACCAGCAACATGGCTTCTGTTCTTACCATACTGTACTCTATTCGGCTGCTGGGTTCTGCACACTGTAGCATACTCTCTCATTGCCTCCTATACTTACAGCACTTACTGCTATTCATAATCATGGACATACTGTAGGATGCTTGAATAATGTGAAGGACCCTGAGGAGCAGGCATATGCCCATTTTGCACAGCACTGTCAGGGACTGCAGGGCACAGTAATGGGCACATAGGAGGGCTCAATGTATATCGCTTAAAGAGATAAATAAATTCAAGAACACATTCTATGATTTAAGTGAGTGAAAGTTTTATTAATTTAATTTTGATTCAGCTCAAACTTCTAAAAATATTATTAGCAAACTTCTGCTTCATTATTAGCAATTGTTATAACTGATCATAATGCACTAAAATCCTTAATTCCTCTTAGACATGTGGTTAATGTAAACTTACTAGCTTATGAGAACCAGATTGATTTTCACTGCATTGACAGGATGGGGTTCTGCCTTTCCAAAGCTGAGGTTCAGGTACTGATCTTGCGCCTATATGAGGCTATATCAAAACAGGTAGCTGGGGGCTGGTAATTTAGCTCAGTGGCACAAGTGCCTGCTTAGTAAGTGCAAGGTGCTGAGTTTGATTCTTGGTTAAAACAAACAACCAACCAAAAAACCCAGCTAGCTGGACAATCTTAAGACATTTCTCTTCACCTCACTATAATTATCCCTATAGGACTGAGTTCAAACTGGTTCTTATGCTCTGACTATGAAGAAATTCCCATTTTGGTATTAGAGTACTGGGGAGAAACTCCCATTTGGACAATTAGTGGTTTCATAGGCAAGCAAAGAATCTAGGTGATGCTGACAAACAGGTTCCCTAGTGTCTTGGGAACACAGTCACTTACAGACATGATGTTACGCCTCAAGACCACACCCAGGATGCAGGAAGGCAGCAAGGGTCCTAGTTCCCATGTCACCAAAAGGGGTCACAGTATTTGAAGGTGACCCACCGAACACTTTCAGAGGTGAGACACATTTTAGCTACCTATTTCTTGTGTGTTTTGAGCCATAGTTTCTGTTCCTGTTTTGGTTTGCCTTACTAATTTTTACTTTTTCCAGCTTTATTGAGGTATAGGTGATATACAGAAATAGCATACATTAAAAGTGCACAATATGATGATGTACATATACACTGTGAAGTATCACCATAATTAAAACAACTGTCATTAGTTACCACTGTGTGTGAATACACTTAAATTCTACTCTCAGCAAATCTGAGTAAGTAACAGAGTATTATTATTAGCTGTAGTTACCATGCTTTACGCGAGCTCCCAGGATGTATTTTTTTTTGGTATCAGGGATTGAACTTACGATCTTGTGCTTGCCGGGCAGGTGCTGTGCTGCTGAGCCGCTGATGTGCGTCGGCCCATCCCAGGATGTATTTTTGACATGCCAAGGTATTTGTGATATAATGACAAATGAAGAAGCAGGTAACAAAACTGAACATCTGTACCCAATGACCAACATTCTCTTACTTTGCTGGTAACCCACCATTCTATTCTGCTTCTTTGAGTTTGCTAAGCACAATTCCCTTGTTTGTAAGACAGGGATAAAAAAAATAAGGTTTCTTCTTAAGGGCCACATATGAAATAATACATGTATGACTGTACCTGGTGCACAGTAGCTATTTTTCTTTTCCTGTCACCAACAGTTTCAAGCCCTATCTGGATATGTGTCTTATGGGACATTCTGCAAAATACCACTGAGGGCAAAATCATATCTCTTAGCAGAGTCCTTTTTTTTTTTTTTTTTTGCTCTTTTTCATTTTTATCGGTACCAGGGATCGAACTCACGACCGCCTGCTTGCAAGGCAGGTGCTTATGCCGCTGAGCTAAATCCCCAGCCCTCTTAGCAGAGTCTTAACGGCCGAACCTAACGGCCCCACCTCTCAGCTCCTTCGATCTCACCTGCTCTAGACAGCTCCGACAGGCCTCCTGGATCAGCTGCTCTGTGTCCACCTCTTCCCCCACATTGTCCCGAACGTTCATGGCTGCTTTCTGGAAGAACTGGGGATGCACAATAGAGGACAAGGTCAAAAGTCCAGCTGGACTAATAAAGCAGAAGCTTCTAGCCTATGTTTATTCAGAAGGGAAAGTGATTAGGAACATGGCTTTGGAGTCAGGCAGATTTAACTCATAAATCAGGCTCTATCCCCTGTTCTATCACCTCCCTCCCTGCATTCTTTTTCAAATCCAGGGCCTCACACCTATCAGGGCAAGTGTCCTAGTGCTGAGCTAAATGCTTAGCTCTTTTTATTTTCTATTGAGGCAAGCTCTTGCTAACTTACTTAGGCTGGGCTCATACTTATGTTCCTCTGCTTCAGCTTCCTTACATAGCTCTGGGATTATAGGTTTTGTGCTACCATGCCTGGCTTGAGGATGTATTTTTGACATGAGAAAGTATTCGTGATATAATTACAAATGAAGCAAGCATGTTATAAAATAGTTTCACATAGAATAAGCCTACTTATATAAAATAACAAAAAGTAAACATATAGGCAAAAGAACTGTAGGGACATGTATTGATTTAACAGTGGTGGTATATGGATGGTATTTTCTTTTCCTTATCTGTAGCCTCCCAATTTTTTTTAATGTACACAAAACATTTTTGCATTAAAAAAAAAAAAAAAAAAAAGAATGCCTGTGCCTGAAGTGAATAGGCCAAGGGAGGCTAGAACAGATCAAGACAGTGCAAAAGTCCTAACTGGATTCCCACTGTCCAGTCCTCAATCTGTAGAACAGGAAAAGGAAGGGCTGGGGATATAGCTCAGTGGCATAGCGTCCGCCTGGCAAGCAAGAGGAGGTGGAGGTGGGGGAAAGAAATCCAACAGGGGCTGGTTGGCAAAGGCAAGGGAAGGCAGAAGGTTCTTCTATTGGGTCAGAGAGCGAGCTAGGGCCTAAAAATACTGAGGGAGCCTGAAGACACATTTGGGAGGTCCCTAGGAACATTCATTAAAAGTCTCTAAAAATATAAAGTGTCAAACTTGTCTAGTGGGCAAGATAATTCAGGAAACTGTAACAATGCTCATGATAAGGATGTACTGCCACTTTATATTTAACAAGGACAAAAGCCTCTGTTAATAGCAAACCAAGGAGAATGTTATAACCTAAGGCCCCCTAACTATCGCGCCAAAGTCTGTTCTGTATAAGCATCGCCTACTGCTTTCCCTTCCCTTCTCCCTTTACATCTAACTAGGTTAAGTTTTAACTTTCCAAAAAGCCATAAAACAAAGGCCTGAGGTAATAGTTCCTGACAACCCCCTTCCCTACCCAGTGGCCCATCACAAATTGTGTTAATTGCATTAGATTGTACTATTATTCACAAAAATCGCTTCGTTTGTATCATAGCAATACCTATATGTATTTTCCTTTTCCCTTTGGGTGATCTAATTGATATGTTAATCAATGCTCTCCTCTGTAAAGAATTGTAAAATCTTACCTAATTTATATGTTAACCATTGTTGCCCTCTACAAATCACAGTTGTGGTACTAAAGTAAGGTAACTAAGGTTGTTAATTGCTGTTAGACTTCTCTATTCTTTGCTAAGAAAAACAAGATTTCTTCTTATCTAAACTTGCTTGTATGCAGGGAGACTTGCAATCCCCGTTTCTGTTTGTGCCACACTCCCATCCCCTTCCTTACATTGTGACCAGCAGTTGTTTGTGGATTTACAAGATAAAAGCCCTGACTTTTAGCTGTCAGATACGCAGTCTCCATACTGGCTCCCAGAGACTCGTCACCAGGCCTGGAAATAAAGCTTTTGCTTCCCAAATTTTAATTTGTTGCTTCCTTGGATTTTATACCAGGGTCCAAGTTATCACATTTGGGGGCTCGTCCGGGATGGGAGCAAGACCCCAGACCCATTTTTGAACATCTGAAAGTAAAGTACTCTGGAGGGGTTTGTTTGGGCTGTGGTCAGTTGTAGTTGTATTCTTGGAGGGGACGCCCTCAAACTTTGGGAGTGTGGACCTTCTGAGGACAGAATCAATTGGTTTTCCATCCATTTGTGACTCTGCCCTGGGTGGGGAACCGCTCCATTAGGAAGGGGACACCCTCAATTTGGGGAGTGGAACCTCCCGAGGACAGAGTCAATTGGTTTTTGCCATTTGTGACTCTGCCCTGGGTGGGGAACTGCTCTGTTGGTTAATTTGTTAATTCCTCCAAATCCCAAAATTTGACTAATTTTTGAGCAAAGGCCATTTTTGCTTTGCTGTCTTGTATGTCTGTTGGTGTGTCCATTTGTTCTAATTGTTCTCCTTTTGGTTACCCCAAATCTAACAGAACATTCTCTCCTAGGAACCCCTTCTATGAGCCCAAAACGGACTAAGGATTTTAGATCTTTATGTTCAGAGTTTTTGTACTTTAGAATTGTTTGCCTGTTTAAATTTGTTACTAATTTAGGGGCTTGTTGCCCATTTCTGTTGCAGGATCCATATGGCTTATTAGATTCAAGGTTCATAATAAGAAAAATTATTTCCTTTAGCTCAACAAACTGCATGAAGCACCCTTTGTCTGTGTCTTTAATGTTGTGGCGCCCTGTTTAATGTTAGTCCTAAATTGATTGCTTGCAACCTCAGCATGCCTTTTAAAAGGAGTATTTTTCTTTCTGGCACATATATATGTATATTTATGGTTTTTAAGAATCATATCAACTTTACCAAGTAAAAACCAGGTCCTACTGTAATTGAGCCAGTTAAAAGGTTATAGTTTTGTTTTTAAAATATAGCATTTTTATGTGGTAAAAAGACATAAAATAATTAAATATGTTTTAGACTACTAAAAGGTGACTTCAAGGGTTTTGTTGAGAGTTTTTGATGTTGTCTGAGAAGCAAGAGGAAAGATAATTGACTGGTAATAGTAAAAAAAAGAGGGACAAGGAAAATGGTTTTGTTTTCAAATAAAAATATCTGGCTGTGCCAGAATGTGGAAAAAGATAAAAGCTTAACTTGGGGGGGTGTATTGTAAGTTGTAGAAAGCTCAAGAGGATATAAATTTTATTTGTCTTGGTTTATAGTACTGCAAATAACATGTTTGACAAGAAGTAAATGTGTTCAGAATTTGACAGTCTTAGATCAATTTTGGTAGAAGTATTCATAAGATTGTACTTTGCTGCAAAATGTTTCCATTAAAATGAGATTACAGGTGATACTAGAGATAAGATACAAATTCTTGCATGTGCTGTGAACATCTGGGAGATTATGCAGCACAATTTTGTTACCTATGAAAAAGCCCTTTTTGTTAAGAATATAATTTCAGTAAAACGATGGCCTGTCACATGACACTCTTGGACAAAAAAGTGGTGTGCCATCCAAATGAAGCTGGCTCACTGATCCGGAATGCCAAAGCCATGTTCTCCTTTTGTCCCACCCCGATTGGACATCCAGAGGTAAGGAGGTTTCCCAGTATCGCCATTGTTCTCTTTGCAACTCAGTCAGCCCTACATGTTAGACAAAAATTGCAAAGATTTGAGAGGTTTGAGGGAATAGAGTTAATAGAGATATTATCAGCCAGTTACTAGAGATAGCACAAAAGTCTTTGAGAACTAGAAATTTACAAGAAGCTACCAACAAAAAGATAACCACGGTGTTAGAATTGCTCTATGAGAGAAAAGTTTTAAAAAACAGATGAGAGTTTCTGGGGGCAGTTGGATACTGTAGGCTAAATTTTACTAAAAAGCTTGCCTCTATATGACTCCCATAAGGCAGAAACTCAAAACTCACTGAACTGGACTGATAAATGCGAATAGGCCTTCCAGCAGCTCAAGCGGGCCTTGACAGAGGTCCCAGCCCTGGGACTCCCTGATGTTACCTTGTTCATAGATAAACTCAGGGGCATTGCCAAAGGAGTACTAACTCAGACATTGGCCCTTGGAAAAGGCCTATAGCCTACCTCTCCAAAAGACTTGATGCAGTGACAGGAGTATGGCCCCCTTGCCTAAGAATACTAGCTGCTGTGACAATGTTACTTAAGGAGGCGAAGAAACTCGCTTTGGGCAATTGATTTCTGTGGTAACCTCTCACAGTTTAGAGACTCTTATCAAAACCCCTCCTGAAAAAAAAGACTCTAGAACGCCAGAATTCTACACTGTCAAACCCTGCTTCTAGACCCAGAGTCAGTGATATTCAAGACTTCTTCAGCTTTAAACCCAGCCACCCTTATGCCTGATGATGACCTGGAGGAACAAAGGACACCTCTCCATGAGTGTGCTGACATCCTCAAACTGCAGCAGAACCTATGGGCTGATCTTACTGACCAGCTTTTGGGAAATGCTGACAACTATTTCATCGATGGAAGCAGCTTCATCCAGAACGGCAAACGAGTGGCCGGGGCAGCAATGACCACCAAAAAGGAGGTACTCTGGCACCTCTGCCCAAAAGGCGGAGCTCATTGCTTTGAATGAGGTGCTAAAACTAGCCACGGGAAGGAGGGTAAACATTTTAACTGACAGTAGATATGCTTTTGCTACTGTACATGTACATGGTGCCATCTATCAGGAGCAAGGTTCCTCACCTCAGCTGAGACTAAGATTAAAAATGCTCCACAGATTCTAGACTTGCTGGCAGCTGTCTGGCTGCCTCAACGGGTTGCTATTATTCATTACAAGGCTCACCAGACAGATGACACTGTCATCTTAGGAAACAGTTTGGCAGATCAAGCCGCTCAAAAAATAGCAACCACATCAGAGGGGCCAACCAAGGAAGTAACTGCTCTGATGCTAGTCCCTCCGACCTTGTCAGAACCAGTCTACACAAAGAAAGACCTACAGTTAGCATCTCAACTTGGAGCGAAGTCCCCCACCCAAGGAGGCTGGTACCAGTTACCTGATAAACGAGTACTGTTACTGGAGGCACTAGGGCAGGAGCTGTTACACCGGGCTAACCAGACTACCCATTTAGGGGGAACTAAACTTGTGGAATTGTTCAGAACTCGGTTTTTTATTCCAAAACTCTGCAAACTGACTGCCTCTTTGAGCTCCAGATGCCCACAGTAATTGTTAGTCAACTCAGCCAAGAGCTCTATGCTGGAGACCACCGAACATCAAAGAATTGTTCCAGGAGAACATTGGAAAGTAGACTTCATGGCATGGTAAAGCCTGATTTACAGGGGTACCGCTATCTCTTGGTATTAATAGACACTTTTACTGGTTGGGTAGAGGCTTTCCCTACTAAGTCTGAGTCAGCCTTAGTGGTAGTTAAAAGGCTATTGCATGAGATCATACCTTGATTTGGCCTCCCACTATCAATGGGGTCTGATAATGGCCTGGCTTTCATAGCCCAAGTCACCCAAAAGTTAGCCCAGGCATTTAAGATTAAACTCCACTGTGCCTATCAGCCACAAAGCTTAGGGCAAGTAGAACGTATGAACCAAAGTCTCAAGGACATTTTAGCTAAGCTGTCTTCAAAAACTGGCGATAATTGGGTGAGCCTTCTTCCCTTTACACTGTTAAGAGCTAGATGTACCCCATATGTTTCTAGAATTTCCCCCTTTGAAGCCATGTTTGGGAGGCCCCTGTCATTGGTTCCAAGATTGTCAGGAAATAAACTAGCTAAAATAACTAATCAAGATCTCATTAAGTCCCGGCAGACTCTCCAACCCGTGTTGACTTCAATCCACCAGCTGCTTAGACTAGACAAAAACACCTGGATCTGCCTTCAGAGACACCTCTCAAGGTGCCGATCAAGCCAGGGACTCCAGTCTTGGTGCAATGTTACCACCGTGACTCCCTCGAACCCCGCTGGGAAGGACCTTTTACCATGGTGCTCAGTACCCCCACTGCCATCAAGGTAGCAGGAAAAAATGCGTGGATTCACCATACTCACGTAAAGCCACTGGAAACAGCGGACAATGAGGGACATACTCAGTGGACTACACAGCAGACTGGTAACCCCTTAAAGTTAAAATTGACTAAAGCATATTAGATTATGCTGGTCATGAACTGTTTTAGCTTGCTTGCTTTGATTTTAATAACATTGATGCCGACCTTGCACGGCGGCTTTGGTCCCCCTGTAAGCAAAGAACAATTGTTAAAGATCTTTATGTGGTAGCTGTGATTGCAACTGGGGAGAATTATACATACAACAGGAAACAAGGATTGCGATCCTTCCCACACAAATGATAAACTGTATACATACAGTCTGTGGACAGATTGTGGGGACAAGTTAACATTCCTTGTTGCTATACCCTCAGTTACAGGGGTTTGACTAAAAGGTGGATGTGTGTTAAAGCCCCGCGTGATACCTAACAAAGGCAGCCAGCGAGCGCCATGCCCTCAGAATTGTTCGTAATATTCAGAAATGCATTCCTCCTGCTATGACTCTGTACAAGAATGTATAGGCATAGATAGCAAAACTTACTTCACTGCTGAGCTTATGAGGAGAGGGCTGGAAGAGTTAGAGGTGACTGATCCACCAATCCGACAGTGATAGAAAGTTCAAAGTATGCCCAAACCTCATGTCTCAGCACGGTTGATAAATCAGTGTGCTGGAGCAGGGTGGCCCCTATATATGTGTCTGATGGGGGCGGCCCGCAAGATAAGGTCAGAAAACTCATGGTTGAGGAATGAGTCAAGCAGCTAGTAAAAATAATGTTTCCCCAGATACATTACCACTCCTTGATGCTGCCTAATTGCGGGGAGTTGGTCTGGATGCTCAAACTTCTGATATTCTAGAGGCCACTCATAAAGCCTTAAATGCTTCCAACCCAACTTTGGCTGAAGAATTGCTGGTTATGCATGGCACAGGGCTTCCCCATACCCCTTGCCATCCCCACCAGTGTTTCTCTGGCTACACTGGAAAAACAAGATTACTTAAATTATAGTGCTGGTCCCCCCTTTAGAGTACAACCAGTAGGCTTCAAGGACTCTCTCTGTCTCCAAGGAGGTTTTCATAATGATACCTCCAACATTGACATGGGGTTCGTTGCATTTACTAATTGTAGTTCCATAGTTAACAGACTACCTCCCTTTATCCCGCCGAAGGACAAGTATTTATTTGTGGAGGAAATATGGCCTATACTTTCCTCCCAACTAACTGGACAGGGATACATGTAACAGCTGTCTTGTTGCCTGATATAGAGATCCTACCCAGGGATGAGCCTGTCCCCATTCCTAGTTTAGATTACACAAAACAGAAGGGGACTAGATCTCCTAACAGCAGAACAAGTAGGGATCTGTGTGGCATTGTAGGAACGATGCTGCTTTTATGTAAATAAGTCCGGCATTGTCCGAGATAAAATCAAGAGACTACAGGAAGACCTTAGAAATCTCAATTGACTCCTTAGCTGAAGTAGCTCTCCAAAATCTCAGAGGGCTAGACCTTCTGTTAGCTGAAAAAGGAGGACTATGCTTGGCTTTAGGAGAGCAATGCTGCCTGTATGCTAATAAGTCTGGGGTGGTAAAACAAAATTTAGCCGAACTCCAAAAAGGCATACAAGAAAGAGAAAGACTAAGGCGAGGAACTTTAGGATGGGCAGAACAAATGTTCTCCTTCCCATCACGGATGACAAACATAATAGTGACCGTAGCCTGTCCTCTTGTTATGATTCTAGTTTTAGTTATTTTAGGTCCCTGCATAGTAAATAGGCTAACTGCATATATAAGGCATCAGATGCAGAGCATAAAATTAATGATGGTTAAACAACAAATGTATGAACTTGTCCCCTCAGATCTTTAGGTCAAAGATTTGACCTTAGTCACAACATCAGAGGGGAATGTTATAACCTAAGGCCCCCTAACTATCGCGCCAAAGTCTGTTCTGTGTAAGTGCCACCTGCTGCTTCCCCTCCCCTTCTCCCTTCACATCTAACTAGGTTAAGTTTTAACTTCCCAAAAGGCCATAAAACAAAGGCCTGAGGTAATAGCTCCTGACAACCCCCTTCCCTACCCAGTGGCCCGTCACAAATTGTGTTAATTGCATTAGATTGTATTAGATTATACTATTATTCACAAAAATAGCTTCGTGTGTATCATAGCAATACCTATATGTGTTTTCCTTTTCCCTTTGGGTGACCTAATTGATATGTTAATCAATGCTCTCCTCTGTAAAGAATTGTAAAATCTTACCTAATTTATATGTTAACCATTGTTGCCCTCTACAAATAACAGTTGTGGTGCTAAAGTAAGGTAACTAAGATTTTTAATTGCTATTAGACTTCTCTATTCTTTGCTAAGAAAAACAAGATTTCTTCTTATCTAAACTTGCTTGTATGCAGGGAGACTTGCAATCGCCATTTCTGTTTGCGCCACACCCCCATCCTTTCCTTACATTGTGTGACCAGCAGCTGTTTGTGGATTTACAAGATAAAAGCCCTGACTTTTAGCTGTCAGGTATGCAGTCTCCAAACTGGCTCCCAGAGACTCGTCACCAGGCCTGGAAATAAAGCCTTTGCTTCCCAAATTTTAATTTGTTGCTTCCTTGGATTTTATACCAGGGTCCAAGTTATCACAGAGAACAATGTGAAAGGACTGGACTAGAGACTCAAGAGTTTAGGAGAAATTCTTCAGACTAAATTGAATGGTTGGATGAGCCTGAATTTATTTATGTGTTTATTCTGCAGTGCTGGGGTAAACCAGCATGCTAGGCAAGTGTTCTACCATTGAGGTGTGTCCCTTGCTTGGATATATCTGACTTTAAAAACAGCTAACAAACTGGAGATAAAGCTGAGTTGGTGGTGCATTCCTATAATCCTAGCCCCCTGGGAGGCTGAGACAGAAAGACTGCAAATTCTAGTCCAGCCTGGACAATTTAGACCCTATGTCAAAATAAAAAAGGCTGGAGTTGAAGCTTAGTGGAAAGGCCCTGGATTAGTTAATTAATTGCAAACAAAAAACAAAAAAAACATCTAAAAACTCTAGACATAAATACTGGTGTTCAATATCAATTATTGGCTAAGCGAAAGTCAGTTAAAGTAACTTGGATACTTCTCAACTAGCTTATGGGAAGGAAGTGTAAAAGATGTATGGGTGTGGTAGCACGTCTGTAATTCCAGCACTTTGGAAGCCAAGGCAGGAGGATTATTACTAGTTTGAGGCCCACCTGGGTACAAAATGAGTTCAAGGCCCGCCTGCACTACAAAAATGAGACCCTATCTCAAAACAAACAAACAAACAAACAAACAAACACCCAGAAAGAGCCAAGCATGGTGGTACATGCCTGTAATCCTAGACTTGGGAGGCTGAGACAGGAAAATCAGTCAAAATTAAAGGCCAGATTACACAGTGAGTGTAAGGTCAGCCTAAAATACATATTGAGAACATGTCTCAAAAAAAAAAAAAAAAAAGATATCTGGGGTAAGTGTAAGCATCTCAAGATCTGAGAATAAAATTGGACCACAAACGAGGGATTCTTAAACACAGCTGGTGGAAATGGAACTTGCACAACTTTCTGAAAAACAACTTTTTTCCCTCTAACACATACTGATTTCATCTCTAGGAATTCATTCCCCAGAAATATTCTCACAATTGAACAAACATATACATATCGTGATGTTTGTTGTAATTGTTACACTAAGATGCTGAAAAATTAAAATAATTAAAAGATAAGGGGTTGGGGATTTAGCTCAGCGGCATAAGTGCCTGCCTTGCAAGCAGACAGTCGTGAGTTCGATCCCTGGTACCGATAAAAAGGAAAAAAAAAAAAGATAATTAGCAAAAATAGTTAAAAAAATAGTTATTAGCAGTACTGTCATTCTGTACTGAGCTCGTTACCCTAGTAACCAAGCAACAACCACATAGTTATAAATTAACTGACCGCCTCGTTATGCTGTTCTGTAGGCATCACCCCCTCCCAAGTAACCTGTGTGCTATGTCAACCTTTGTTCCCCCTTGTAAGAGACAAATTATGCTGTGTCAACCATTATTCCCCTTATGAGAGACAAATGTTCTTGGAATTGACAGACCAAGGGCTATGAATTGGCTAACCACCCACTGTGAAATGCCTCTGACCTCAAGCAACGGGGAACAAAGGCTCACCTTATTTCTGATTCTAATCACTATGTACTTAATGATCAATGAGCTAATCATAAATGAACTATAAAAATCAGTTAAAACTCTAACTCAGTTGCACAGCTTTGCAAATTCCATCTGCACTGCGTCGCTGGGCCAGCTAAAATAAAAGCGCTTCTTCCTAAAAACGATGTCATTTTGCCCCATCTTTTCCATCTCAGGGGTTTTGCCCCATTTTTCATCTCAGGGGCCTTTTTAGGGAGGTACAACAGTAATAACAAAAAATTGTAAACAATTTGAATTTTCTAGGGGTTAGCTATTTTTTTTTTAATAGGGGTTAGCTAGTTAAATTTGGTACATCTATAAAATAGACTACTTCCCAATTATTAAAGCTACTATGGGACCAAGTGGCATAAGAGCCTGCTGGCAAGTGCAAGGTCCTGAGCTCAATTCCTGGTACCAAAACTAAACAAACAAAAACCATAGAGAAAGCTACTATGGGCAAAATATTAGGTGAAATAAGTTGCAGAATAGTGTGCGCAAAACAATGTTTTACAAAAATATCATGGCTGGGCATTCTGGAGGCTGAGGCAGGAAGATCCCTACAAGTTCAAGGCCTGCCTGGGCTACATAGTGAGTTCAAGGTCAGCCTGAAAAATATAGTGAGACCCTGTCTCAAAACAAAAACAAAACAATCCCAGAAAACAATCATGAACACATACAATTGAAGCTGAGAGACTGTATTGTTATTAGTCTACACTGTTATCAGTATCTTTGGGAGGTGAGTTTTAGTGACTTTTAGCTTTTATTTAAAACAGTATCTGAGTGAACATGTTGGGGCACATCTGTAATCCCAGCACTTGGGAGGATGACGCAGGAGAATTACTGCAAGTTTAAGGACAGCCTGGGCTACAAAGTGAGTTCAAGGACAGCCTGAACTGCATAGTGAACCCTGTCTCAAAGAGACACACACACAACGAATGTACAACAATATCTATACTTTTTAAATCAATAACTTCTTTTGTGGTATGTGTATTCTGTGGTACTGGGGATTGAACTAAGAGCCTCACACATGCTAGGCAAGTGCTCTACCACCAAGCTACAGGCCTAGCTTTTTTATTTTATTTTTAAATTTTGAGATAGAGTCTGGCTAACCCAGCCAGTCTGATCTGGACTTGTTTTCTTGCCTTAGCTTCCCAATAAACAAGATTTTATTAAAAATTTCAAACTTATAGAAAACTACCTTTCATTTTACTTACTACTCCATGCCTACACTATTTCAGAAGAAATATTTAGGGTGCTTACCAAAGACAACATAAAATGCAATATAATATAAATAAGAAATGCGCAGAGGGAGCAGAACCTAAAAATTATGCCACAATGGAGATTTAGCTCAGCGGCATAAGTGCCTGCCTAGCCAAGTGCAAGATCATGAGTTTGATCCCCAGTACCAAAAAAAAAAAAAAGAATATACTTGTCATAATCAGCCTGGTGTGGTGGCACACCCCAAATGCTAGGACTTGAGAGGCTAAGGCAAGAGATGTTCAATAAACATCTTATACCCATTACTTAGTCTCTGTAATTAACCTTTTACTATATTTGCTTTATCAATCACATACCTATTCATTTATTCATCTTTCTACCGATGTGTTTAAATCCCTCCCCCTTTTTCTTTGTGGTACTGGGGATTGAACTCACAACCGTGCACTTACCAGGCAGTGCAAAGGTCTCACAAAGTAGTTCAGACTTGCCTTGCCTATGGTAGCCTTGAACATGTGTTGATATTCCTGCCTCAGTCTCCCAAGTGCTGGGTGTCACCATGCCTGGGTGATTTCTATTATTTCTCATAATCTGTATTACTAAAATGTTTTAAAAAGAGGCATGAATTTAGTAACAAAATAAATTGGGAAGGACTGATAAAACCTTGGATAAGATCAGCCATAGCTAAAATCATCATTCTAAAAAATTTGAAGACACAAAACAACAACAAACAAAAATAGATGGGAATGTAGAAGGAATCTTATCACAGTGGAACATGTAAATCATATTAAGGAGTCTCGGTTTACTTACAAGACAACAGAAAGTTTCCAAGGATTTTGTTTTTTTTGATACACGGTCTTGCTATGTAGTTCAGACTGGCTTTGAACTCACTAAGTAGCCTAGGGTGGTCTCAAACTCCTGGCAATCCTCCTGCCTCAGCTTCCTGAGTACTAGGATTACAGGTGTATGCCACCATGGCTGGCTACAGGAATTCTTAAATAGGGAAATAACAACAATGGATTTATTTACACTTTAAGAGATCATTCTAGCCGCTGTATAGAGGGCAGGTTGAAAGATGGGAAAAAACAAAAGCAGTTAGAGATTACAGGAGGAACCAGAATGAAAAATCATAAATGCCTAAACCAAAGCAGACAAAGAAAGAGGACATGTTTTACAGAGTGTGACACTGAACACACAGGTTTAGATCACTATATACGGAAGATAAAGAAGGCAAAGTTCCTGGTTTCTTTTTTTTTTTTTTTTTTGTCTTTTTCGTTTTTATTGGTACCAGGGATCGAACTCATGACTGCTTGCTTGCAAGGCAAGCGCTTATACTGCTGAGCTAAATCCCCAGCCCCTTAAGTTCCTGGTTTCTAAGGGAATGATGGTCCAAAACTGAGCTCCTGGCATCCCTGGCTTGCTTGCTCTGAACTCCTTGCATCAAGTAAAAGGGAATAAATACTTCTTGAACAAATGAAAAATACAATAATAGAAAGTTTGGGAAGAAAACAGAGTTTAGTTCTAAATATTCAGTTTGAAGTACCCAGGAGAACATTCACATATAGCCAAGCAAAAGTTTACTTATAGGGCAGCTTTAAATAACAGAAAAGTTGAATAACATTAGAAAAATATTATCTAACTCTTACATTTTAAGGAAGACTTCTCACAAAAGATTGGCAAAATGATACTGCAATTACCCCTAAAGAGGGAAATGTTTCGTAACAAAGGGCTCACAACTGGAAAACGAGATATGTGTGTATTATATTTATAGGAATGGTGCAGATAGAAACTGGGCTGCCCAGGAATCTCTTTCCCTGTTAAGTTTTTAATCCTGTTTTCCTTCTCACCTTCATGTATTTGTTGAAGACAGTCTGGATCTCCTCATTGATGCTAGGCTGCAGGACAGCTCGAAGGAGATCCATGGAGATAGCAGGATCTGTAAAACTGCATTCAGGAGGGATACAGAATCAGAGGATGTGTCCTAACCATATCCTTTTCCAATCTGCCCAGCCAATTGACACAAGATCCTTTAACAGCAATACTAGAGTGCTCTCACGGAACATAGCTATGTGCTAAGATTCTGGGCAAATATATAAGATGCATGATTTTGTTCCATTTTCATAACTAGGAAGCAGGTGTTATTTTCAGTGTTTTATGAAATATTTATGCAGAAAAGTCTATATTCTTTAATAAACAATTACAGTGACTATTTAATTGTAAAAAAAAAAAAATACAAGCAACCACCAAAGGCTCATCTTTCCTGGGATGGATACTATTTGTAGCCCCACTTTACAGTTAAGAAAACAGACCCAGGGAAATTAAGTGGCTTGTCCAAGGTTACCTAGCTAATAAATGTCAGTCTGCATTACAACTTAGTCTATGCACTAAACTTTCATTGTCTTTGACTTTAGAGGTCAATCTCAGAGCCAGTCAGTGTTAGAAATCTTAGTGTTAACCCCTGCTCCTCAACTGCGTAGATGAGTTCTGAGAGGTAAGTGACTTGAATCTTACATCTCCTCTTTCCCTGTCCAGTGCCCTTTCTACCGGCTGTAGATCTCTTCTCGGGCTTGTGCAATGGGGATCCTAAAGCTCCCATTCAAGTCTGTGCCTGGGATATAAGCCTAGTCAGGGCTAGCCTTACCTTGTTGTCATCTGGGAGCGGCGGCCCCTTCGCTGCACCTGCCTGTGCTTTATCATTATGTTCCAAGGGTTCTGTGAAGATGAAGGGAGCAAATGCCACTGACACCAGTGACACTAGGATAGGAAGAAAGAACTAGAAGATAAATCTAGGTATTGCTGCTTTTCAGATTCTTTTTCCACCTCTGCCACTTTGGGGAATGTGGCAGAAGGATGGTTAGAAGGCACTGCCAAGGAAGAGGAAGTGAGGAAACGTTTGCCGCTTTCAAAGTCCCAACCCCGCTTTTCTAGAACGGAAGCAGGAAGGGGACCAGTGTTTACCGAGGGTCTGCTCAGTGGCAGGAGAGGTGCCAGGTACTTTACCCGCCTTTATCATCCCACTTCCACAACTTTATGAGGCTGCTATTAATCATCTCCACTTTAAAAGAGAAACCTGGAGCTCAGGGGGTTGTCTGACAGGTCCAAGTCATTTAGCTAGGAAGGTGGCACCAAAATTTGAACGCAGGTCGTTCGACTGTGAAAACGGCAAGCCCTCGACAGCATCAGTCGCCGCGTTCTCTCGCCCGCGGGCCCGGGTCCCGGGAGCCCGAGGCCCTGCCCAGCCCGAGCCCGGACTTCAGTGGGGGGGCGTCCTCACCGTCAGAACCAGCTGCCCTGCTGCGCCTGCATCCCCCAGCTCGGGGCCGCCCCGTTCGGCCCCGGTAGGTCCCCGCGGCTGTTCGACGTCCCCAGTAGCCCCCATGGCGTCCCAGACCCCGATAACTTCAACCCGACTGTGCCACCGGCCGGAAAGTGGTGCCGTGACGTCATGACGACGCGCCGCTCGCTGGCCCGGAAATGCTACGCAAGAGCTGCGCGGTTACTATGGTAACCAGACCGCTGCCTTTAGCCTAGGTCCGGGACTTACTCTGTGGTGGGCTCTGGTCTCAGAGGGACTGTTAAGGCAAGGGCGGTTCCCAGTTAGGCCAAGGCCCGGGGATGACTGCGGGGTAGGAAGAACGGAGTAGGTTTCCGTGGGCTGGGGGAGGCCAAAGAGAGGAGCGCTTGTAGTTGGGGTTTTTGAAAACTGCAGTTTCTTACATTTCTGGCACAAACTCCGGAATTAGAGCCAGTCTAATGCGGGGGCCAGGAAACAAGGCCAAGTGTGGTCAGTGCCATCCCAAGCACCCACTGTGCCTCTCCAGTTTTTGACCTCAGGGCTTGACTTTTTTGTCTGACGGCATTAGGATGAAGATTGGGTCTTGGCTAGTGGATTCTGCCCAAGGAAGCTGTACTTTATGTCTGCACTTGGGTGATTTTGTGATGTTCTCGGGATGAGTGGCTTAGCAGCTCCCATGTTCCTCCAGAAATCCTTTTTGTTCTACCTTTAAAGTGCTCCTGAATAAATTGGACTCGTTTTTGGATGCTAGAGAAAGTTATTCTTACCAGTCGTGGGTAGTATAAAGTCATGAATTTTGCAGCTGGAAAGTTACGAGTTCAAATCGAATATTGGCCCTGGAATTGAACTGCCTGGCTGTGTTCTACCACTTTCTAGTTGTGTGACCCACATTTCTCAAACTTTTTATGCCTTAGTTTTCTCAATTGCAAAGTGGGGATAAAAGCTCCTGGCTTGTAGGGCTGTAGTGAGTATTGAACTAATTCATGCAAAGCACTTAAAATCATGGCAGAAGTAAAACCTTCAAACAATACTATCTGTTGTTACTACTATGAAATTTCAGCAGCCACTGCTTTTATGGGCATTTTTCAACCTGTCTGATTCAATTTTCTTATCTCTGCAAGATGATTTTGTGGATCAAAATACATAGCGTCTTAAAGCACATATTAGGTAACAAGCAAATTTAATTTTTTTTCATGCTACAATATCAGCCTTATTAAGTGCAACTTCCTTGCACCAAACTCTTAGTATTAAGAATGCCTTTTTGACCATGTTCCTAATCCTACAGGGCTAAGTAGTCCCTGTGCACACCATTAGATATCACGGCTAACTAAAGATGTGAACAAGACAGAAAAATAAAAGAAAAATAAAGGAAGAAAAGATAAAGGAGGCATATATGGAGAAGAGAAACTGAGTCATAGCAATTCTTTTGAATTTTTCCAGTTTTATATGGTTCAAGAATGGCTTTTGTGGTCTAAAGACATCAAGATGTAGGTCCCTTTGTATTAGTTCTGAGTAAACTAAAACTAGATTTTCCACAGTTTTTTGGACAGTTTCCAAGTGACCTGTTCCACTGTATCTTTTCTCGTTGGTAGGTGGAGCAGGAGCCACAATGTTGTTATGCTTAGGCTATTTTATTAGCTTGGTAATTTTCTTATAAAATTATTATTTTTTAAGGCCTTCCATCCTTTCAGCTGCAATGGAATTATCCCAAACCTTTTCAGGGTGCTCCTTAATCCTTTATCTGATAGTTGTTCCTCTATTTTTCCAGCTTTCTATTAGGATTTTTGTCATTGTCCAAAGTGTTGTATATATTGTATTATAGAGTTTGATCACTCCCACTGCATGTGCCTTTTGGTAGTGCCAGGAATTTTCTCATTCAAAGCAACCAATCGGTCTTGTCAAGAGCAGACATTCCTGAGAACTATTGTATAAGGGAGGATTTGGGACTGGTCTTATGGCAATTCCCTAGTCTTACTCTTTCTTTAGTTGATACTCTGGGCTGTGTCTTTCTCTGGCCTGAACTGAGATCTTATTTCAATTCTCAGCATCATCAGGATGTTAAGCAGCTTCTTCCTTCTGAAGGCACTTCTTGCTCTTGAGTTTCTGGCATCCTGGGCGACTACAGCTGAGCTTGGTGAGCTATCATTTGGGATACTTAGCTAACACTAACAGAAAGTAACCGGGGAAAAGTCATTTCCTGCCTCCTCTCAGAGTGAGGTTCGTCATTTGTGGAGATGATCATCTCTGTAAGACAGGACTGGGTGAATAGGCTCACAAGACAGCCAAGGTCAGTCTTCTTGGCTTTCTTTACCCTCTGGATAAGGAGATGGAACATATTAGAGGTTCCAGTTGTTCCATTGAGCTCGTGAAATGAAAACATGATCATCCCTAGCTTCCTCTGAATCTGAAGCATGGCTGGTTCTTTAGTAGCAGGGAGATGGGTATTAGGAATTTTATGGTAGGAAGAGAAAATGATTGCAGTAATATTTTGGGGTACAAATGTTATAAATGCTTGAAGTACGTTTGACCTGATTTCTTGAGGCCTAGCTAGTTATCCTAACCTCCCATGGTATCTTTTGCAGTGAAAGAAGGAGAGTGTCCTCTCGATAAGAACCCATGCAGAGACCTATGCCGGGGTGATGAGTCATGCCCAGCTGAGCAGAAGTGCTGTAGCACAGGCTGTGGTTGGGCCTGCCGAGGAGGCATTCCTAAGGGTATGTTGGCAGGATGGGCAAAATCCGCTGTGCTTTCTGGCCTTGCCTCTGGGATGGATAGAACCAGAGGCCATCTTACCTCCTAGACAGAATCTTGAAATCTAGTTTTGCTAGGGTCACTCTTCACTTTTGGGGTCTCTGTTCAGCACCCTCAGTTCTTTGCCTGCTGTCAGGAAGGAGTGTACCAGTGTACCAGTATTTTACTTTGGATTCAGAGTTCCCATGAGTTCAAAGGAGGGTAGAATTGTGAAGAAGAGCCTACGATTAAGAGAATGGACCCTGGGATCGGGCAGACCTTTGTAAGCTTTAAACTTCAAACAGCTCTTTTTAAATGGTAAAGGTTTTCTTTCTGTTTCTTTTTTTTAGTGGTGCTGGGGATCTAAAAGCACTTGCTGTGCACTGAACTATACTTCAGCCCAAATCTTAAGCTTTCGGCCCCATTTCCTCCTCTGTAAAAGAGGGATTATTATGAGATCAAATGAGATGTTCCTGGCAAAGGGTACATAAATGCTATAGTAAATGTTAGTTATTGTTATTGTAGCTGTGGTTACAGTCCCTGTTTTAGCAGCAGAGATGAGAAGCTTAAATGAAGCCTGGAGCTTCCTTCCTCTGATTTTCCCTTCTGCTGTGCTTGTGAGCATCACCAGACACTGTTATCTGCTATCCGTTGGTGTCTTTACTTTTGTTACAGGGAAGAACGGAAATTGTCCCATGGTAGTCCAGAAACAATCCTGTTTGCAGAAGTGCACCAATGATGACTCATGCGCAGGTATAAAGAAGTGCTGCACATTTGGCTGCCGGAAGTTGTGTGTGGTCCCAGACACTAATCAGAAGTCGGGTGAGAAACTGTCTCCAGACCCCATGGTTTGCCTGTTTCTTTCTCAGATACACACATCATCTTGTCATTGGTTTTACTTTACTTTGGCAACAATAATAAAGAGGCTGCTATAGTCTTGAGAATATAAAATAAAGGATACTCAGGTCATGACGATTTGTGAGACGTGGCCCAGTCAGGCAGAGGAAGATGCCAGAGGGGCAATGTCGGCATATCTTTGTAGACAGATTTGAAAGCTATTGGGTAATTCCCACTTTCAGTTGTCAGTTGTGGTATCCTCTATTAAAACCCCGAGAATCTGCAAAGGAAACAGCAAAATAGAATCTTGATGTCTATGGAGGACAGCACATATTTGCCTACCTACTGCTACTTGTGAGCTCTGTGCACACACAAGATGGCCATCTGCTGTTGGAAACAGATCCTGTTTCATTCTGGTTCTGGTAGAGAGGTATTTGAAAGAGATTCCTCCTCTTTCTCTGAGGGTCTTCATGGTCTGTCTCCACTTACGCACTCAACAAATATAATTTGAATATTTGCTGTTTGCCACCCTCAGTATGGGTTCTGGGTATATTGTGGTGAAGAAAATAGTTCCTGTCCCTGACTTTATGGAGCTTATCGTCCCGGGGTGGTGGTGGTTAACAAATACGCACATAAATAAATAAATAAATAAATAAATTCAGATTGTGGTAGGGATAACAGGACAATGAGATGGAATAAGTGGGGGAGGGTCACTCCAGATTAGGTCAAAGAAAACATGTCTGAGGTGAGAACACTGAAGCTGTAACCTGGAGGAGGGTTGAAGTTGGCCAGGGGAAGGGCGTGATGGAGACCGCAGGAAGAGTAAGGGGTTCCGGGGATGCGGAACTTGCCATATGTGGGAAACAGAGGGAGAGCTGGAGTAGAGGCAGAGAAGGGGACTGATTGTAGCTGAAGATGGACAGCGTTGACACTGGGGAGGTGAGAGTGGGGTGAAGGTGACACAGTTGAGAGAATTTTGAGCTCAGGGCTGTGGTGTTCTGCTGTACACCTTACCTGCTTTGTGATCCCCCTGAGAGCCCCTACAAAGTGTGAGAGCTGATGTATCTTCTATGTCTAGACCCTTCTTAGTTTTCCGTTTTGGAATTTTCATGGCTACTTTCACTTGGTTGTGGTTCCCAGGATATTTTATTATCATATTGCCTACCCCCCATCACTTCAGCCTACCTGAACAGGTTACTTTTATCGGAGTGATGTTAGATATCTAAATTAACTTTAAGGAGAACTGATGTCATTATTATGATGTTGAATCTTTATGTTTTCTTCTTGTGCAAGTATATTTGGTTAGGGTTATTATAGGGATATTATATAGCTGTAAAATATTTCTCAAGTTTATGTGTAGGCGTTTCATTTTCTTGTCTGCTGTCTGAAATGGGGTTTTCTGTTATGTTTTCTGAAGGAACTAAAATCATTCTGCCAACTGAGTGCACGTGACAGTGTGTTATATGGAAAATCATAGGTTTAGGTTACCCCAGACCTGGGTTCAAGTGTGAGGCTTATATGGCCAGAAGGTCCCTTGGAAAGTCATTTCTGCCTCTAAGAGCCTCAGTGTCCTTTTCTGTAAGAGAGATGAACTAAACTCTGGAGGCTTGTTGTAATGATTCAAAGTGTGTACAATGCTTTGCCCTTAATATCCATTATCTTCCGTCCTCTTAGCTTCTAAGTTGGGGAAGGTTGAGTCAGGAGTCTAATTTCTGTTTTTCTTTTTTTTTTGAGACAGAGTCTCATTATGTAGTTCAGGCTGGCCTTGAAATTGCTATGTAGCCCAGGGCTGGCCTCAAATTCATGGCAATCCTTCTGCCTCTGCCTCCCAAGTTCTGGTATTACAGGTATGCATCACCCCACCTGGCCTGGACTCGACTTTTTTAACTAGCTTTTTTTTTTTTTTTTTAAATCCAAAAGTAGTATCATTTTCTTCCCTCTGATCGGCTACTTTTAGAGACCCTGAAACTCCACAGCATGTGACAACCTTTTTGCTTCCAGCCGGTCTCCCGGAAGTAGGCCCTTTCTCTGTACCCGCTGGGCCACTGTGGCCATCTTTGGCAGTGATCTTGGGCAGCCTGTGAAAACAGAACAGAAGATTGTATTCCTTGCCAGGACTCTTGAGGCCCGGCTCTGGAACAAAAGCCTGGGAGTCTGTCTCAGGCAGGCCATTCACTGCCAGCTTGCAGGATCTGGTGAAGCCTCCAGTATTAGTTCTCCTTGGAGTTCAATCCTTGCTGTTTCCATCTTTGCAGACTTCCAGGAGCCAGCCAGATGGCAATCATCCTCACCTGTTGCTACTCAGAGGCACTGGGCCAATCCCGTTTCAGTTTTCTATAAAACATTTAATTGCCTGTCACTTCTCTCTTCATTTAAAGGCTTGAAATAAAAACTGAGACGAATGAGTCATGGTGAGTTGGACTGGTTTGGATGTGGCCTTCTTTGGGTGTGCCTGTACCTGGCACCCAGCCCAGTTACCTGAAAGCCTGGCACATCCAGAGACCGAGTTTTGTTCTGTTTGGCTGTTGACTCATTGTGTAGTTCTGGGCAAGCCCCGTTCTCTCCTCTGGATTTCATTATCTTCACAGGAATGAATGGCCATAGCTGAAATGTATTTTGCTTTCCATAACAGAAAATTAACCAAGTAAGAGTTTGTTGGTCCTACCTAGCTAGGAATCATGAAGGAAGTACTAGGGCTAGTGTAGTGGTTCTAAAAAGGGAAGCTATTTATTTCTCCTTGGCAGTCTAATTTTGTCTTTATTGCTGGTTTCTTCCTAATTGAAGAAGGGCTGAACTACCTTTCCTCTCTATATCTGTCACTGATCTGGAAGAAGAGGTGAGGGGGCAATTTGTATCAGGAATACAAATATTTCCCCAGTTTATGTCATCACTTAGGGCCACTCCTACTTGCAAGAGAATATAGGGAAACAAATCATTTTAGCTGGGCCCATTGCCTCTCAGAACAAACATGGGGTTCTATTTATAAGATTCTTATTTGGCTATAGCTGAGTAATGTTTATACAAACATTTACCAGTGTAAGAAAGAAGGAAGGATGAATATAGGGTTGACAGTATGTTTACCACAGGGGATTAGAGCTGAACTGTGAGTGTCAAAATCAGCTTAGTAGTTTATGTCCAGCAGTTAAAAAACTAGAATGTGAAAGATCAGGGTGCATTGTGTATACATGCTGCACATTTTCACATACACAGGGGGCACAATGAAAAATTCATGTCATATTCTGGGCTTGGGCACCGCTGGGTCTCAGTGCTTTGTTTCTGTGACAGTGTTTGGTGGTGAGTGTCCTGCTGACCCCCTTCCATGTGAGGAGCTGTGTGATGGTGATGCATCCTGTCCTCTGGGGCAAAAATGCTGCAGCACTGGATGTGGCCACAGCTGCCGTGGAGGCATTAAAGGAGGTACCTGTCAATGTCTCCCAGCCCCCATGGTATTGGGGAACCAGGGTTCCTTACCACTGAGCTATGTCCCCAGTACTTTTTTATTTTTTATTTTGAGATAGGGTTTTTGGTAAGTTCTTGCTAAATTGCTCAGGCTGGCCTTGAACTTGTGCTCCTTCTGGTGCAGCCATCTGAGTAGCTGGGATCACAGGTGTGTGCCACTGCCTGGTTGATATGTTGGCTCTTTTGGGAAGAAATCCTTAAAGTGCTCTCTGAGTTCCAGAGTCAACTTGAAAGGGACCACCTATTTTTGCCTTCTTTTTCCCTTCCTGGAAGGAGCCCGAGTTGTCATGTTTCTTGTCTCCCTAACCTTTAATCCAAAGCAATCCTTCCTTTTAAGCCCAAGGAGCCCCTGTTGGTCTGAAAAGAGCTAAGGGGAAGACAGTGTGCCATGGTAGGAATACTCCCTATTAATACGGGCAGCTTCTGGTGGTTTTTCTACTGTACCTTTGTCTGTGAACCTTTGGGTGAACCTTTGGGTAAACAAACATCTCTTTTTGAGCCCTAGTTTCCTCATCTTGCTAGTGAGTTGCCAAACATCACTGGTTTTCAGACCTGATTTTTAGCGTGGAGCTTCCTTCCAACTCAAATGAAACCTTGATTGGAAGCTGCATATTGGTATTTGATGATGAATAGATGAAGCCTTCCCATTTCACTTTCTTTGTTGTTTCAGTTTTCAAAAAAATATCTTCAGTACTGCTTTGATGCAAGACACCGTAGAACTCCACGTCAGAAGCATTGTCCCAGATTCTCAGTCCCTTTAAGATCCCCAGGCAATATTCAGAGTGTTAAGAATGGGACAGTTTTTTATCCTTACACAAGGTATTGCCTATTAGAGAAGACAGATAGTTAAATAAGGAATTATAGATGTTCCTTGACTTATGATGGGGCCACTCCTGATAAACATTTTGTCAGCTGAAAATCTTTTTAGAAAGTATATTTAGTGCACCTACCCTGCCAAACAGCCTAGCTTAGCTACACACATGGCACACTGTAAAGTATCATTTGTGTGCACGTAGTCATGTGACTGGGAGCTGTGTCCTGCTGTCCCTACCTACCATTGCGAGAGAGTATTGTACTGGATATCACTAGTTTGGGAAAAGACCAAAACTGGAAGTATAGTTTTTATTGAATATGTGTCACTTTTGTATCATTGAAAAATTGAAAAATTGTAATTTGAATGATTCATAAGCCACATGTGTCCTGAAGTTTGATGAGAGGAGGCACATATAGGCTATTACCGGAGCGTACAGCAGGGGCCCCGAGCCTTGTCCTGGGTATGGACAAGAATACAACAGTGAAGCCCCAGTGCAGTAGGGAAAGTGTCAGTTTACCTTTGTGTACTCTGCTTTGTCCTTCCCCAACCTGTATAGCTGTCAGTCATGTTACCTTTAGGGAACCCCCTCTAGGACATCGTTTGAAAGCTTTTGTTAGCTCAGAGGTCTTTGGGTATCTGTACATTCCCAGACCCTCCAGCTTCATAGTTTCCCAGACAAATTGGTTAAGATCTAGTTAGGAGTCTGGGTTTGATTCACCTGGAACCTGTATGTCAAAGTTTGAGATGGGAACTTTGGGACAGTGAAGCCAATGTTCTGTTTTTTTTAACCTGTGCCTTTTTTCCCTCCACAGGGCAGAGTGGTACTTGTCCAGATGTTCTGGTGAGCAGGTGTATTGTTAATTGCATGGGGGATGAAAACTGTCCAGTTGGGGAAAAGTGTTGCAAGTCAGGCTGTGGACGTTTCTGTGTCCCACTAGTCTCGCACTCCAAACTGTCCATGAACTCCAGCTGGACAGTCTCTTCTGATTCTGGAATAGGTGAGTACAATCCACTGTAGTCATCAACCAACTAAGTTACTCCAACTAAGTTACTGCTATATTGGGAAGGGGACAGTTTAAGGCCAAGCAATGTAGTTGGAGAGAAACATTCTAATGTCATAGACCAGAACCCTCATATGGAAAATATTAGCTTATAGGTGTTGAGTTGGCGTGGTTCCTGGGACAGGTCTTTCTGGGAAAGGTGTGATTTGATCTAGGCCCCTAAAGGCTTAGGCAGATGTGACAAAGTGGGAATAGCACAGAGAAAGTGCCAGACAGGTAATGTTATTGTTATCAAAAGCACAGAGGGAGGGAATATGTGTCACATATTTGGACACTGGGGCCTAGAAGGAGGGTGAGTAAAAGAAATTATGCTTTGATTTCTGAATGACATGCTTTGTCATTAGGAAGTAGGCAGCCAAAATATGCCAAGATTCTTCTGTGTGGAGGGGCAAACATGTTGGGTATCTGGGGTCAGGAAGCATAGCTGTGATTTGATATTTTTTCTTTTTGCAGAGATCCCAGTGCCCTAGTTGCCTGATTTGTTCAGAGATCTTTATGACTCCAGGAGCCTTGTCATGGCAACCAGGAGAAGTTGATGTCTTGGGGCTTGTAACAGTCCCAGCCTTGTCTGCTCTGCTTCTCTTCCTGCTTCAGCCTGGAGCATAGGAAACAGCCCTGACTGGGTAGTGGATGTCAATGCTTCTCTATTCCAATAAAGGCTGGTGATAACCCTTGTGTCTGGCTGTCTAGGGCTCAGATGAGATGGGGATCTGGGGGTCTGAGTGTGGTTGTGCAACAGTGAGACTTACATATTAACAGAGGATGGATGATCAATCTTCCTGAGAAGACTGAAAATGAGTAATGGTTGGGTGTGACTAGGGTTGAGAAGGGTAGAAGCTAGACATAGGCTCACTAGCCATAGAGTTCTCTTGCAAGCTCTTGTTAGTGAGTAGAGTTCCTCTTTTCAGAATTGTTGGCTTTATTTCTCTTATTGGAGGATGCATTGTGGGTACAGAACGGGGGTGTGTGGCTAGTTTATTGTAGCTGTTTGAATATTCCTTCCTTGAAGGCCAGCCTGTGGTTCCAAAACATTTCCAGGATGTTTGGGGCCAGGGATACAGCTCAGTGGCACAGCACCTGCCTGGCAAGCTGAAGGTCCTGAGTTTGATTCCTGGTACAAACAAACAAAACAAATAGGGAACTGGGGGTATGGCTTGGTGGTAGAGTTCTTGCCTTATATACATGAGGCTCTGGGTTTGATCCTCAGGGCCACACACATATGCATGCATGCACACACACACACACACACACACACACACACACACACACACACACACAAAGTTAATAAACTTCCCTCTTGGGGCTGGGAACACAGCTCATTGGCTCAGTGTCTGCCTAGCAAGTGTGAAGTCCTGACTTTGATTTCCAGTACAAACAAAACAAAACAAAACAAAACAATCCCCCAACCCTAAATCAAACATAGTATGTTTGATTAACATGGTTAAACATAATCAAGATTGATTGAGTTATCACATTTGTTATTTTAATAGAACTGTGTGAAATGCCTAATTTACTTAAATGGCCATTCTTTGTACATTAATATCCTTGTATATCTTGGGCTATTTTTATAGGAAATCCAGATGAATTCCTAATAGAATTCCAATCTTAAATGGAGCTTCCAATAAACTCTCAATAAATATTTCTTGAGTAAACGAATAATGTAAGTTCCTAGTATATCAATTAAGAATTCTTTGGAAGGGAAAATGAGAAATGAATCCAACTACTGAAAGACGACACAGAGAACAACAACACAGGATCGTTTAGAGTCAATGAAAAAAAAATCAGGAGTCTGCAAATGACATAAAAACCCACTCACAGATGTCATGGCAGAAAACTTCTCTGGTAGGGAAAAAGAATTTGACATACAGATAAATGAGGCATATAGAACTCCAACTAGCCATGGTCAAAATAAATCTACACCAAGGCATATAATAAGGTTCCAGAAATTTAGTACAAGAACAGAATATTAAAAGCTACTAGAGAAAAGAAACAAATCACTTATAAAGGAAAACCCATCAGAATCACAGCAGACTTCTCAACACAAAAGCTTAGGTTCAGGAGAGCTTGGAGTGAAGTATTTCAACTCCTGAAAGAAAACTACCCCCAACTCATATTTCTGCACCCTGCAAAACTATCTTTCAGAATCAATGGAAAAATAAGATATTTCCATGACAAAAAAAAAAAAAAGAAGAAGAAGAAGAAAAAAACCAGCTCTACAAAATGTTCTGAAGGATAGTTTAGAAACAGATAACAAAGACCAAAATTCTTTTTTTTAAATTTTTTTTTTTGGTCTTTTTCGTTTTTATTGGTACCAGGGATTGAACTCACGACTGCCTGCTTGCAAGGCAGGCACTTATGCCGCTGAGCTAAATCCCCAGCCCCCAAAGACCAAAATTCTAAGAGAAAAACAATAGAAACTACCAGGCAAACAAGCAGTTAAACAGAGGGGAAAGACAGGGAACCAAAACCAGGAAAATAATGTGAGAAGGATAAGCCAATACATATCAGTTATAATCATTAGTGTGAGTGGTCTCATTTCACCAATTCAAAGGAAGAGACAGGCAGAATAGATTAAGAAGCAGGATACAAGGGCTGGGGATTTAGCTCAGTGGCATAAGCACCTGCCTTGCAAGCAGGCAGTCATGAGTTTGATCCCCGGTACTGATAAAAAGGAAAAAGACCAAAAAAAACCCAGGATACAAGGGAATTTAGCTCAGCAGTATAAGTGCCTACCAGGCAAGTGTGAAGTCCTGAGTTCAATCCCCGGTACCAACCACTGCCAAAACAAAAACAAAAACAAAAAACCAAGAAGCAGGATACAACTGGGATCATCTTATTAAAAAGCTTCTGTACAGCCAAAGAAATCATCAACAGAGTGAAGGGACAATTCAAAGGGTGGTAAAAAAAATCTTTTGCCAGAGTGCAAGCAATGTGGGGCCCAGGAGGAGAAACAAGCCAAGTTACCTTTCTTGTCAGTCAGCAAAAGCCATTCTGGGCCTGGGAGGAGTAACAAGTGGCCAGTTTGTCCTTCCCATGAGTTGGCACAAGCTATGCAAGGCCCAGGAGAAGAAACAAGCCAATTTGCCCTTCCTATGAGCCAACAGGGGTATGGTTTGGGAGACAAGAATATCCCTCATCCCCATAAGCAACCAGCTGATTTGGAAGACAGGCTGAGTTGATAGCACAACTTAATGCTTTTATTATTCGATTGACTTTGCAGGCCTAAGGCCAGTAGTCTGATCATCTATTAAGAGGATAACAGTGTAGCAAATATGGAGGGTTTTCTTCTGTCTTGTTTTTGAAATCTAATATTGCTCTGTTTTTTTCTTCCATTTTGTTTTGTTTTATTCAGTGTACTGTTTTTATTGGTTTTATTCTGTTCTGTTTTGTTTGATTTTATTATGTCTGATGGTATAGGTGACAGTTTTGAAGATAAAAAGAGGCATTATGGTAGCCATTGTTACTTTTCTGTTATGCTATTTTGAAATCCTGTGTCACTTTCACTGTTTTGTTTTGATTGGCTTTATTCTGTTTCATTTTGTTTGGTTTTATTCTCTTTAAAATACACTTTTATTCTTTTGCTTTGATAGGTTTTATTCTGTTCTGTTTCATTTTATTATGTCTGACAGTATGGACAACTATTTGGAAGAAAACAAGAGACATTTTGGTAGCCATTGTTGATGTCCTATTATCTTGTTTTGAAGTTCCGTATCATTTTCATTGTTCTGTTCTGATTAGCTTTATTCTCTTTTGTTTTGTTTGGTTTTATTCTCTCTTTCTCTTTTTTTATTGGTACTGGGGATCGAACTCACGACCGCCTGTTTGCAAGGCAGGTGCTTATGCTGCTGATCTAGATCCCCAGCCCCTGGTTTTATTCTCTTTAAAATAAAAAAAAAAACTTTTGCTAGCTGTACTTCAGACAAAAGGCTGATATCTAGAAGATACAAAGATCTGAAAAGAGAGCCAGGCATATGGCTTAAGCAGCACAGTGCCTGGTAAGCACAAGCTCATGAGTTTGAGTCCCAGTAACCCCCCACAGAAAAAAAAGAGCTGAAAATAACTCCTCCCTCCAAATTTAAAGACCTAATCCACAAATGAGCATCTGAGATGAATACACACTTCTCAGAAGAAGTACAAATGGCAAGACAATATATGAAAAAATGTTCAGCATCACTAGACATTCAAGAGATTCAAATTAAAACAGTGCTGAGATTCCACGTCATTCCACATGGAATGGGTATTATCAAGAAATCAGCCGATAACAAATGCTGGCTAGGCTATGAGGAAAGGAACCCTTCTCCATTGTTGGTAGGAGTATAGACTGGTGTAACTGCTGAAGAAATCAGTGTAAAGATTCCTCAAAAAATAGGACTAAGTGGGCAGTGGCGGGTGCAGGAGGAGGCAGAGGCTGCAGCAGAGGAGACATAGGCTGCAGGACCAGGCAGGAGCGTGAGGGTGAGTGGGTGGCTGAGTGAGTTTACTGGGATGAGGTGGTGACCCCTGAGGAGTGAGGAGCTGGGGTCATTGCACGGCCTAGCAGCGAGTCTTCGGGTCACGGTGGCAGCTGCTTAGTTGTGAGGAGGAAGGAGAGTGGATGTCTAGGCCCGCCATGGAGGGCATGGACATGGACCTGGACCCCTTCTGCTGATGCAGAAATTCAGCTGTCTGGACCCACCAACAAGGACGTGCTCATCGCAGAGTTCCAGGGGCTGCTTGGCTTCCAGGTCAACACGGCCAGCTGCACCTTCTTCTTGGACTTGACCAGCTTATACTTAAAAGCAGCAATTGGCACCTATTATGACTTGGAGAACCCAAACATCAGTGTGACCCCCTCTATGTCCTTTGTTGAAGATGTCACAATTGGAGAAGGGAAGTCAATACCTCCTGACGCTCAGTTTGTAAAAACATGATAGATCCAGAATTCTGGAGCAGAAGTCTGGCCTCCAGGGCTTTGTCTTATGTATGTTGGGGAGACCAGTTTGGGCATGTGAACATGGTGATGGTGAGATCCCTAGAGCCCCAAAAGATTGCAGATGTCAGTGTCCAGGTGTGCAGCCCAGCAGAGCAGGAATGTATCAGGAACAGTGGCAGATGGGCACTGCTGCAGGAGTTTACTGTGGAGATGTCGTCTGGGTGGGTCTCAGTGTGGAGGTGGGTGAACTTTTAGAAGTAAAACAACATCTGTCATCTTTTGAAATGGAATTCACCATACAGCGCGTCACAAGGGAGAAGGAAACTTCAACCCGGTTTGCCTCTCCCCAAAAGAACCGACAGTCATGAAAACAACTTAGACCCTGGGGGTTCTGGGGGCTGGATCAGCAAAAACATATGGGCTCCTGATCCTGATCAATCTGAGCAAGATCGGGATTGGCTCTCATAGAACTCTGTAAATCTGTCCCCCAGTAGTCATGCAAACAACTTATCAGTAGTGACTTACACTAAGGTAGGTGCCCTCGGAGAAGAGGAGAACCGGTAAGTGGTGGCCCTTGTGGTCTGTGCTGCCCTTTGTGGCAAAATAGCCTCCCAGAGGCGAATATTTAAGACTGCTTAGCTCCTCTGCCAGCAGCAACAACACGAAAGGCCTCTCCCCTCCTGCCTTCACCCCGTGTCCTCTGTCCACATTTGTAGTGCAGTCCTATCTCTGCTCTGGTTTGGATATTGAAAGACCTTT